ATGATTCACCCAGCAATCTGGCTGCTGCAACTATTTTCTATGTTTTGACAAGTGATGTAAGTCATTTAGTATTCGAAAAGTGATCATTCTAATTTGAAGTTTTTATTTCTATAGGTACCTTTCATGAAGTTTTCTTGTGTACTGCTCATGTCTGCTGTGACTCTTCAAGAGTACATACAATTAATTATTTTTTTTTTTTTTTTTTTTTACTAATAAACCTAAGGGGATTGTCATCTTTCAATATTGCAGGGTCAGGATGATCATCTCCTGGAATCACCGAACTGTATTAATTTTTTGATTAGATTTTGCAAACCAATTGTCTCAAACACCACAGAAGATAAAGTACCAAAAGTTGGACGTAAGCTTCTAGCATTGCGTATTGGTGCTGACATCTCACAGTGTATGACAAAAAGATTGGACTCCAGCTCTGCCGCTATTTTTTCCAAAGTTCAAGAAATTCTTGTAGGTTGCAAGGATTGAAACCGAGTTGTGTGGATGAAGGAGAAATGGAAAATCCGGAGTTATGCCCAAAATGGATAGCTTTGCTGACTATGGAGAAAGCTTGCTTATCTACTATCTCTCTTGAAGGTCTGAGTCTGTGTTGAAGCTTATGGTTTTCTGGTTATGATACACATTTTTATGTATTATTTAGTCAGGATCTCAAGCTTTTGGCCTGTACTTTCAGAAACCACTGGTGCAGTAAGGAAGTCGGGGGGCAACTTTAAGGAAAAATTACGAGAGCTTGGAGGTCTTGATGCTGTATTTGAGGTGACCATGGGTTGCCATTCCAATATGGAGGTGTGAACCTGTATGTTTGTTTGATCTCACTGTGTGTTTCATTAAATGTTAAAGAATACCAAGGGACCGTAATGCTTTAAATGGTTATGAGAGATATTTACTTCACTATGCTACTTCAACATTAATTCTTGGTTCACTATGTAAATAATAAATTTCTGTGAAAAAATAATGCATGTGATGGTAAAGAACCAAAATGATGGTGTGCAGCCTTAGTTGTATCTAGATTCACAAGTTTCTTCTGTTCTGTAACCTATATATTTCTTCAGTTTATGAGCAACAATGACTACACATGGGTAGTTTAATAGTAACAAATGGGCAGTTATCTATTTGCCTTTGGATAGCGTCATCTTCTTTATTGTTCGTTGTAGTTCCTGATTTTCTTCTTGGAGTAACATGAGTGGTTTTGCATACTAACAATATCACTTCTCAGTCATTGATTTGTTTTCTTTCCTTATTATGTGCACATAATACACATTGAGTTATGATAACCAAAATTCCTTAGACATAATATAACTTTTTCATTTATATACTTACTTTTTTCATTTGAATCCTGGGGTCCATATGGTACTCAATTGTTATCGGTGAAATTGCCTTACTAAGCACCAGCAATTAATATGCAGGGTTGGCTAAAAGATAGCTCGCATACTATTTGGGAAAATGAAAACGACATGGTGCGGAGCCTGGTTCTGCTTTTGAAATGTTTGAAGATCATGGAAAATGCCACATTCCTAAGTAAAGAGAATCAGGTATTTAAATGTGGTTTAGCCTCCCTCTCTATCCCTCCCTCCTCAGTCCGCTGGTCTGCTCTCTCTGTCACACTGTTTCTTCTCCTTTCTAGTTTGTAAAACTCATACTGCATTATGATGTTTGATTATTGTTAATTATTGAAAGGTGTAATAAATCTCCACATCCATGTTTTCTAAACAGAGCCATTTGCTAGGAATGAAAAGGAAGTTGGATCCCATGGCAAATCCTTTGTCTTTTACAGAACTATTTATAAGTGCCATCAATATTCTGTCAGGTAACTTATAGTTTTTGGAATAACTTTTGATTCCTAATCTTTTTGGCTTTCTGATAATTGATCGCATTGTTTTCTAGGAATTTGTCTACATAAAAGTTCCTCTTCTGCCACCAATGACAAAAAGTCTTATAGTCTTTCTAATGGGAGTGAACATGTTTCTGAGAAGAGCTCCAATAGATGTCAGAGCAGTCAGTTAATGTCAACACCTTGCTCGGTATATACTATATCCAGTTCGGAAACTACCAGCACCTCCATGACTGATACTTATTCATTGAACACAAGACTCAATTCTTCTAGAAATGGTTCTTCCAATGGTACATCAAGACATGTCAGCGGTGGAACCAGTAAATTTAGCAATCTTTCCCTGAAGAATGCTGGTCTCAGGCAGCGATCCTACAACTTTGAAGACTCCAAAATTGATCTTTCAGAGGATAGTCAAGATCCCTTCACATTTAGCGATGGTTCCAGAATGGATGCTGATCTCAGTCAGAGATCCTATATTTCCGAAGACACCAAAATTGATCTTTCACGGGAGTGTCAAGATCCTTTTGCATTTGATGAAGATGATTATAAACCTTCTAAGTGGGACATGTTATCTGGCAAGACAAATATGTCTCTATCACAACAAAATGCGGCAGCATACAGAGAAATTGATGACATTTGTCAGTTGCAGCATATTATGAGCCAAGAAGCATCAAGTAATGGAGAAAACCATCAGACACAAGAGACATCCTGTTCAGGTGCTGTTAGGCGAGAAGGTTCCAGTCTTGTAGCTGACTGCCTTCTTACTGCTGTAAAGGTAATCCTGCACCCCACTATATTAAAGCTTTTTCACATTGCTTTAAACTTTTGTGGTCCTCCACGTCAACATCTATGCAATTGTGGGTGGGTTGGTGGTGTTACCCGTGTGTACAATCTAGTTGTTTTTTGGTCCCTTGGTCAAATGAGGGTTTATTTCTAGATTCATGTTACTGTTTACAGTTCTTATCGTCTACTATCATCGCTCAACTAAGATTTATTCAGTTCTTTGAGACTCATTAGCTGTTTGATTATTTTGGTTACTCATTAATAGAATAGTGCCTTTTTGATTAATTGATATCCCGTCCTACATGCACTGTGTTAGAACGCATAGGAAATAGTTGAACTGTGTGAACTCATAACAGTCTTCTTGGCAGGTTCTTATGAACTTAGCAAATGATAATCCTGTTGGGTGTCAGCAAATTGCTGCATATGGAGGACTGGAAACCTTGTCTTCTTTGATTGCCAACCACTTTCCTTGTTTCAACTCATCATCATCTCCCTTCAGTGAGAGAAGTGAGAATATTTCCAGCATTGAACTTGACCATCAGAATAATAGACATCTTACTGATCAAGAGCTGGACTTTCTTGTTGCTATTTTGGGTCTGCTTGTGAACTTGGTGGAGAAAGATGGCCAAAACAGGTTACCTTGATTTCTCAAATTTTCTCCATCTGTTTATGCATTTTCATTTTAACAACCGACATCATATTTGAGCTCAATTTATGGTTCAACCAAGAGAACACGTTACCACAGTTGGTTCCAATGAAGTGGTTATGCTGAGAGTGTGGAAAAATTTCTTCCACATTCTATGTGGAGATAATGGCGGGGTTATGTGGATGACTGCTCCCATTAGACAACTTGTGTCTTGAAAAGATTTAGACAATGAAAGATGATATAATTAGAACCGTAGTGCTTGTGCTGCAGATTAACTAGTCTTAGTTTCTAATTCTTAATAAATCATTCATGCATTAGAATTTTCATGCTTGTAATTTATCAAACTTGCTTTTCATCCAGATCACGGCTTGCAGCAGCTAGTGTTCAAGTAGCTAGTTCGGAAGGGTTTGGAGAGGAGAGTCGCAAGGATCTAATTCTGCTAATCTGTTCTATCTTTCTTGCGAACCAAGGTGCAGGCGAGGGAGGTGGAGAAGAAATGGTTTTGCCAGTGAGTGATATGTTCTCGTTGACTGGAAATTTCGGTTTGTTGTTTAAGTTGTGATGTCTTAAAAAACCCAAGGGCCTGCCTTCTGATGTCTAGCTGAACAAAAACGAGAAATTGAAAATTTATTTTCCATAAATTGGTCTTGTTCTGGTTAATTGTATTCATCTTGTATCTGATCCTTGTTGATGTCTTCTAACTTTGATTTGTTGTATCGGTACAGACTGATGAGGCAGCTGTCTTACAAGGGGAACAGGAAGCAGAGAAAATGATAATAGAAGCTTATTCTGCCCTGCTTCTAGCATTTCTTTCAACCGAAAGGTTTGGCTTGTTTTCTCTCTTTCCTGTGTATCAAGCATTATCGTCGTGCATATTCTCATGCAAAATTTGTTTGCTGTGCTCAGTAAGAACATACGTGATGCAATTTCTGACTGTCTCCCAGACCGCAACCTGGCTATTCTAGTACCTGTGTTGGACAGATTCGTGGTACGTGTCTTAACTTCTAAACGGTGATTACTTCAGAGCACGTGGGTATTAACTGGCGGAAAGTTATATATCTTTTATTTCTTCCTCAGGCATTTCATTTGACGCTGAACATGATATCGCCAGAGACTCATAAAGCTGTGAGTGAAGTAATCGAATCATGTAGGATGCGGTGAGAGCTTTGGAGATGGACGAGAATCCTGTACAGATTTGGCTTTCCTTTTAGAAAAAATTGTTGTTTACCCGACTTTGCGACTCTCGACGGGTCGGGATTCAGCTGCACGCCATATGCAGCTGACTGCAGGCCTGGTTGCTCTGTATTTGTTTAGGTTTCTTTTTTCCTTCGCTCCCCTGGCGCTATTCTTTTGTATCTTTGTTTTTTGTTTTCCCACCATTTTTGAGCTGGTCAGAGACCGTACTTGTATACCAAGAATAATAGCTTAATGGCAATGTCTTGCTTTCCTTGTAATTAACATTTCTTCTTCTTGTTCTTGTATTATTTTTTGTTTTTGTCGTAATATAAGAGTTATGTTCGCCTATATCCTATGTTTCAAGAAAATTGTGATCAATCAGTGTTCAAGAAAATCGTAATTTTTTTTTTTATTCAATAGAAAAAGAATGAAAGAGTATGTTATTTTTCTGAGTCTATTCAATAGAAAACACTAAGAAATTTTCTGAGTCTATTTTTTTTTATCAATTTAAGTCATATTTAATAATTTGTTCACCGAATACCTAAATAAATATGAGATGAATGCTGTATTTCATTAACTGCCTTTCTTACCTTACAATGTACTATTTATGCTAATACCCAACCCTAACTGTCACCATAAAATGCTGCCATCGTCTCTGAACATATGGAAAACCTTAAATGCATTAATAAGTTAAACTAAACCCCCACAGAAACAAGAAAGTTCAAAAAGAGAGAACGTATTAAAAACAGATCAAGGCATGCAAAAATATAAACTGCTATCTACAAACTAGCTGATTAAACCAGAAAGTTTCCTAGCTTACATAGTTGTCGCCATCCTCATCATTAGCATCATCGTCTTGGTCCTCCTCATCATTATTATCATCATCATTCTCATCATCCTCATCATTAGCTTCATCGTCTTGGTCCTCCTCCTCATCATTCTCATCATTCTCATCATCCTCATCATAATCCTCATCAAAATCATCAACTTCGCGAGAAATATATTTCAAGGCCTCTTTGTAAGGGATAGAAAGGGAATTTGAAATTCTCCACCGTTCCCCTTCGGCAATCATAGTTTTGTCGCATAGTAAACGTACCCCTATTTTCTTCACCTCAACATTACCACGAGTTGCAATAACATGGACCGAATCGCCTTCTTCCAAATTGAACCCAGTTTCCGGCAACAAAAAATTTGCCAGCCAAATGTACTCTCCATCGGAAATAACATCAAGCACATTGTTAACAAAATTAGTACGCTTGGTGTGATTAATAACATAAATACGAGACCCAATAATAAGACAAGAACCCCCGTTGGGATCATAAGGACTCCTGTTGTGATCATAAGGACAATAAGCCATGCACACAGCCAACGCTTTTGCATTACAACCAATTTCCTTAGGCACTTCAAAACGGACTTGGGTACCCTCGTTGACATGATTGAACCAAGTGGGAATTTGTCTTCCTACAAGATTCATCCATCCAGATCCCGTCCATCCCTATACCATGTTGAACAAGATTTTTGTGAGTAATACATACATAACACACATTTGCGAGGGAGGAGAGGGGGGTGGTGTGGAAGAGAGAGAGTACCTGTAGCGTGCTATCCTTAAGAATGAAATCTATGACATTGTTGTGTGTTGTCATATTAAGGTCGAGGCCCGAGTTTAACGCGCTATCCAAGCCTGGAAATTCAATGAGTTTCGGGGAACCGAGTTCGCATGCCATCAACATGCCTGAAACATCTGGCATTCTTTCAAATGCAGAGCAGTTGTGCATGTATAGGATTCTCAAACGTTGTGGTAAATCTGTGATCTCGACAAGGTTTCTGCAACCACTCAAGATTAGATCATCAAGATGGGAGAGGCCACTGAGGCTTGGAAGGCTCCGAAAATTATTGTTATTTAGATATAAGCTCCGTAAACAAGGTAGACTACTCCCAATATCATTAGGCACTTCCTCTAATTTGCTGTTCGCCAAATTTAAGCTTGTTAAAGAGCGTAAGCCTCGTAAGGAAGGTAGCTGCAAAGAACACTTCAAGTTCCTCAAAGATAAGTACTCAAGGTTCTCCAGTCGTCCGATGGAAGGTGGTACTTTTTCTATGGCCGTCCCATCTGCAGAAAGAGTGACCAAACTTTGTGGTAAATCTGTGATCTCGACAAGGTTTCTGCAACACTTCAAGTTTAGGAAAACAAGATGGGAGAGGCTACTGAGGCTTGGAAGGCTCCGAAAATTATTGTTATCTTGATATAAGTACTTTAAACAAGGTAGACTACTCCCAATATCATTAGGCACTTCCATTAAATTGCTGTCTTCCAAATGTAACTCTGTTAAAGAGCGTAAGCCTCGTAAGGAAGGTAGCTGCAAAGAACACTTCAAGTTCCTCAAAGATAAGTACTCAAGCTTCTCCAGCCGTCCGATGGAAGGTGGTACATTTTTTATGGCCGTCCCATCTGCACAAAGAGTGACCAATGATGCCAATTCTCCCAAGTTATCAGGCAAGCTTTGGAATCTTGAACAACCATCGAGAACAAGAGTTTTGACAGATTTCAACTTGCAGAAACTCCTCGGAAGAGCCTTAAGCGTTTCACAGTCTTTCAAATTCACCAACACAAGACTCTTGAGATCTCCGATGGACTTGTGAACTTTAGCCAACCTCTTACAGTCTTTGAGTATCAATTTCTCAAGATTTGGGAGTTTCGAAAAGTCTGGCGATTGTGTTAGATCGTGGGAGTGGCTGAGATTTAGAATCTTCAACTTATCCAGCAACTGTTAAGAAAAATAAAATTGAAATAAAAAATTAAAATCCAAAAAGAAGATACAGAGAGCATAAAAACAATTCCTAATTTGGTTCAGGTTACATTGTACGTACCCCAGAATGCTTACAAAGAACTTGTTTGAGGCTGCTGTACCGCATGTCGATAGCGACTATGTTTGGTTGACACAGTTTTATTGGTATGAACTCCAATGGGAATCCATGCCAACACAGCCATCTTAATTTTTTGAAAAGACGTTGGTATTCCCCAGCGAGCCGAACGTAATTTAGTTGAAGCAATCTCAGTCTCCTCATATTTCTAAGCGCCTCAGTACTGAAACTGGTCTCTTCAAGACTCGGCAAATTCAAAGCCAGACCTTCAATTTTTTCAGTTCCCTGCTATTCGAAAAAACAGACTCCAAATAAGAGAAGGCTTTGCATGAAAAAAAGTTAGATTACGAACTTACATATGCTTACACGTTTAACATAAAGTTCGATTGGGAAAGTACTTACAGATTTGTCTATCAATACAGCTTTTACATCTTCAGGACGCCACAATCTACTCCGTTCTTCAGGGAAATCGGTATTTTCTGCACGCACGATATCTCTGCCCATATCCCGAAGCAAATCATGCATCATAATCTTGTTTTCACTATTAATAGTTACAAGGCATCGGTCAAGGAGGACCTTGATTCCTGTTGTTGCACAAAAGCCACAACCATCCAAGATTTGTATGACATCGTTCTTGTCCATTCCGATAAAAAAACAAGCTATATCGAGGAATATCCCCCTCTCCAAATCATCATTTAGCCCGTCGTAGCTTATTTTCAGTTGTGCCTGAATTTTTCCAGGAGGAATTATTTTCAATTTATCCAATGTACTTTTCCATTCTGCTACACTTCCCTTCGAATAGACCAGATCCTAAAATTTGAAGAGCTAGCGGCAGTCCTACACAGTAATCGACAACTTTTCTTGCGAGCTCGAGATATTGATTAGGACAACAACTACTTCTGAAAGCATGCCAACTTAGGAGCTCAAGAGCTTCTTCTTGGTCCATTCCTTCCGCCTGATATATCTTATCAACTGCAAATTCTTTTAGCACATGTTCGTTTCTAGTTGTGATGATGATTCTACTCCCCGGGCCAAAAGAGTGGCAATTTCCAGCTAATTCACGTAACTGCTTCACATCATCTACATCATCAAGTATGACAAGTACCTTTAAGCGTCGAAATCTTTCCCCTACCAAGGCGGTCCCTGCAGCAACACTGCTTACCTTTATCTTGGTTTGCAAGATATTTGAAAGAAGTTGTCTTTGCAATTCTTCTAGTTTCTTTTCCCTCACTTTTTCAAGGAAACTTTTACCTCGAAACCTGTCAGAAAATCGATTATAAACGGCTTTAGCAAGCGTTGTTTTACCTATTCCACCCATGCCCAAAATTCCAATCACCCGAATATCATCTGAATCTCCGATGCATAAATATTTACTGATATCTTGCACTCGAGAATCTATTCCGACTTGGTAGGGCGCTACGTCTAAGTATGTGTTGTTCAGCATCCTAGTGACTTCCTCAGTAATCATCCTGATAAACTTTGCTTCATGCCTGGCATTAGTCAAGCAGAGAAGCAAAACGAAGATTGTTATACAACTACAAGACGAAATTGAACTAATACACAAAATTACTTATCATGACTAGAGATTTTATTTAAGACAAATTTCTTTGAGGTGTTGCGTTTAAACTTAGCAAACATCAATTAAAAATTCAAATTAGAAACACAAACAAACAAAATCAGTTGAAGCTTTATTGTATGATTTTATTAAAAGAGGTCCAAGAAATCGCGTGCTTCCAAATTAATAAGCAAAGGTACGTTAACGCCTAAATTCATAAGAGAAGAAATTAGTAATTACCCGTCCAAAGTTTTTTGGAGATCCCCGCCAGCCAAATTCGAAGCTTCAGAAAGAGCAGTTCTCCACCCCTCTACCTTACAACTCTGTACCTTCTTTTCATCTATATGGTCCTGAAACGATTGTCCAAAACTGCCTCTCTGTTTCCTGACATGCGAAGGATCAACGTCGTAGAACATAAGAGTTATGTTCGCCTATATCCTATGGTTCAAGAAAATTGTGATCAATCAGTGTTCTACGCCTATACCCTAACTGTCACCACAAGATGCTGCCATCGTCTCTGAACATATGGAAAACCTTAAATGCATTAATAAGTTAAATTAAACCCCCACAGAAACAAGAAAGTTCAAAAAGAGAGAAGTATTAAAAACAGATCAAGGCATGCAAAAATATAAACTGCTATCTACAAACTAGCTGATTAAACCAGAAAGTTTCCGAGCTTACATAGTTGTCGCCATCCTCATCATCATGGTTGTCATCATCCTCATCATTAGCATCATCGTCTTGGTCCTCCTCATCGTTATTATTATCATCATTCTCATCATCCTTATCATTAGCTTCATCGTCTTGGTCCTCCTCCTCATCATTCTCATCATCCTCATCATAATCCTCATCAAAATCATCAAATTCGCGAGAAATATCTTTCAAGGCCGCTGCCTCTGTGTAAGGGATAGAAATGGAATTTGAAATTCTCCACCCTTCCCTTTCGGCAATCATAGTTTTGTCGCATAGTAAACGTACCCCTATTTTCTTCACCTCAACAGCACGAGAAGTTGCAATAACATGGACCGAATCGCCTTCTTCCAAATTGAACTCAGTTTCCGCCAACAAAAAATTTTCCAGCCAAATGTACTCTCCATGGGAAAAACCAAATTCCACACTGTTAACAAAACTAGTACGCTTGGTGTGATTAATAACATAAGTACAAGACTGAAAAAAACGATGAGAAGAACCCCAGCTGTGAGTATAAGAACAATAAGCCAGGCACACAGTCAACGCTTTTGCATTACAACCAATTTCCTTAGGCACTTCAAAACGGACTTGGGTACCCTCGTTGACATGATTGAACCAAGTGGGAATTTGTCTTCCTACAAGATTCATGAATCCACGTCCTGTCCATCCCTATACCATGTTGAACAAGATTTTTGTGAGTAATACATAGATAACACACATTTGCGAGGGAGGAGAGGGCGGTGGTGTGGAAGAGAGAGAGTACCTGTAGCGTGCCATCCTTAAGAATGAAGTCTATGACATTGTTGTGTGTTGTCATAAAAAGTGTGAGGCCCGAGTTAAACGCGCTATCCAAGCCTGGAAATTCAATGAGTTTCGGGGAACCGAGATGCACCAATGTCGCCAACATGCCTGAAAAATCTGGCATTCTTTCTAATGCAGAGCAGTCCTCCATCCCCAGGATACCCAAACTTTTTGGTAAATCTGTGATCTCGACAAGGTTTCTGCAACTATCCAAGTGTAGGTGAAAAAGCATGGACAGGCCACTGAGGCTTGGAAGGCTCCGAAAATTATTCTTACATAGATTTAAGCTCCATAAACAAGGTAGACTACTCCCAATATCATTAGGCACTTCCATTAAATTGCAGTGTCCCAAAGATAACTTTGTTAAAGAGCGTAAGCCTCGTAAGGAAGGTAGCTGCAAAGAACACTTCAAGTTACCCAAATATAAGCGCTCAAGTTTCTCCAGTCGTCCGATGGAAGGTGGTACTTCTTTTATGGCCGTCCCATCTGCAGAAAGAGTGACCAATGATGCCATTTCTCCCAAGTTATTAGGCAAGCTTTGGAATCTTGAACAACCATCGAGAACAAGAGTTTTGACAGATTTCGACTTGTAGAAACTCCTCGGGAGAGCCTTAAGCGTTTCACAGTCTTTCAAATTCACCAACACAAGACTCTTGAGATCTCCGATGGACTTGTGAACTTTAGCCAACCTCTTACAGTCTTTGAGTATCAATTTCTCAAGATTTGGGAGTTTCGAAAAGTCTGGCGATTGTGTTAGATCGTGGGAGTGGCTGAGATTTAGAATCTTCAACTTATCCAGCAACTGTTAAGAAAAATAAAATTGAAATAAAAAATTAAAATCCAAAAAGAAAATACAGAAAGCATAAAAACAATTCCTAATTTGGTTCAGGTTACATTGTACGTACCCCAGAATCCCCACAAAGAACTTGTTTGAGGCTGCTGTACCGCATGTCGATAGCGACTATGTTTGGTTGACACAGTTCTATTGGTATGAACTCCAATGGGAATCCATGCCAGCACAGCCATCTTAGATTTTTGGAAAGACATTGGTATCCCCCAGCAAGTCGAACGTAGTTTAGTTGGAGCAATCTCAGTCTCTTCATATTTCTAAACGCCTCAGTACTGAAACTAATCTCTTTAACACTTGGCAAATCCAAAGCCAGCCCTTCAACTTTTTCAGTTCCCTGCTATCCGAAAACAGACTCCAAATAAGAGAAGGCTTTGCATGGAAAAAAGTTCAATTACTAACTTACATATGCTTACACGTTTAACATAAAGTTCAATTGGGAAAGTACTTACAGATTTGTCTATCAATACATCATTTACATCTTCAGGATGCCACAATCTACTCCGTTTTCCAGGAAAATTGGGTTTTTCTGCATGCACGATATCTCTGCCCATATCCCGAAGCAAATCATGCATCATAATCTTGTTTTCTCCATTAATAGTTACAAGGCACCGGTCAAGGAGGACCTCGATTCCTGTTGTTGCATAAAAGCCACAACCATCCAAGATTTGCATGACATCGTTCTTGTCCATTCCGATAAAAAAACAAGCTATATCGAGGAATATCTGCCTCTTGTAATTATCATTTAGCCCGTCGTAGCTTATTTTCAGTTGTGCCTGAATTTCTCCACGAGGAATCATTTTCAATTCATCCAATATACTTCTCCATTCATCTACACTTCGTTTGAAAAGAGTAGATCCTAAAACTTCAAGAGCCAGCGGCAATCCTTCACAGTAATTGACTACTTCTTTTGCGAGCACAAGATATTGTCTAGGACAACAACTACTTCTGAAAGCATGTGAACTTAGGAGCTCAAGAGCTTCTTCTTGGTCCATTCCTTTCGCCTGATATATCTTATCAACTGCAAATTCTTTTAGCACACGTTCGTTTCTAGTTGTGATGATAATTCTGCTCCCTGGGCCAAAAGAGTGGCAATTTCCAACTAATTCACGTAGCTGCTTCACATCGTCCACATCATCAAATATGACAAGTACCTTTAAGCGTCGAAATCTTTCCCTTACCAAGACGGTCCCTGCAGCAACACTGCTTACCTTTGTCTTGGTTTGCAAGATATCAAAAAGAAGTTGTTTTTGCAAATTTTCTAGTTTCTTTTCCCTCACTTTTTCAAGGAAACTTTTACCTTGAAACCTGTCAGAAAATCGATTATAAACGGCTTTAGCAAGCGTTGTTTTACCTATTCCACCCATGCCCAAAATTCCAATCACCCGAACATCATCTGAATCTCTGATGCATAAATATTTACTGATATCTTGCACTCGAGAATCTATTCCGACTGGGTAGGGCGCTACGTCTAAATATGTGTTGTTCAGCTTCCTAGTGACTTCCTTAGTAATCATCTTGATGAACTTTGCTTCATGCCTGGCATTAGTCAAATTGAGAAGCAAAACGAAGATTGTTATACAACTACAAGACGAAATTGAACTAATACACAAAATTACTTATCATGACTAGAGATTTTATTTAAGACAAATTTCTTTGAGGTGTTGCGTTTAAACTTAGCAAACATCAATTAAAAATTCAAATTAGAAACACAAACAAACAAAATCAGTTGAAGCTTTATTGTATGATTTTATAAGAGAAGAAATTAGTAATTACCCGTCCAAAGTGTTTTGGAGATCCCAGCCAGACAAATTCGAAGCTTTAGTAAGAGCAGTTCTCCACCTCTCTACCTTACAACTCTCTACCTTCTTTTCATCTATATGGTCCTGAAACGATTGTCCAAAACTGCCAGTCTGTTTCCTGACATGAGAAGGATCAATGTCATAGAATATCGGCAAAACTAACTGCCCCAGCGTTCTTCTACACTCCATGATCTTAACCAGCTCCTCGAGGCACCAGCTGGAGTTCGCATACTGTCTAGAGAAGACGATGATAGAGATCTTAGAACCTTGGATTGCCCTTTCAAATGCGGTTGTTAATTCTTCTCCCTTTTTTAGTTCTTCGTCGTCAATAAAAGCATTGATTCCAGCCCTTGTTAATGCTTCATAGAGGTGGCCCGTGAATTTTTTACGTGTGCCTTCGCCTCTGAAGCTTATGAACACATCGTAGAGCGAACCTTTTGAGGAGGAGGACGAGGACAAGGAGGCGGAGGACGACGATGAGGATGAGGGCGAGGAGGTGGAGGAGGACGATGAGGATGAGGATGAGGATGCGGGCAAGGAGGAGGAGGAGGATGACGAGGCTTTATCGGGGACTGAGACATTCATTTGGCGAAAGACGAGGCCGAGGGAGCAGAGGAGGAAGATGAGGACATCAAAGACAAGACCGGAATTGCGAGCCGCAAGGTGGTAGGACAATAACACCACCACCAGAGTTAACAGCTTCCCTAAGCTCGACCAGGTATCCATTTCCTTCATTTTCTTTAGGCAAATTGAAGGTTTTTGGCGATATTGATTTTCTTTCTTCTGCAAGACTTCACTGCAAGAGTTAATTTGAAGTACCCTATTACACAATCCCGGATTATCCTGCCAATAATGCAATTACCCGACAACCCATCAGGCTGGGCCCCATTTCCCTCAGCCATTTCCCTTTACCTTTGCTTTTTTCTTCATTTTTGGCGTCAATCATGTGCGTTTACCCGTCAACTCTATGCCAATAATGCAATTAGGATTGCACATGGGTTGTGGACCCCATTTCCCTCAGCCTTTTCCATTTCCCTTTACTTTTTTCTTCATTTTTGGCGAGTTTCCTTTAATTTTGGTCAATCATGCGCGTCAATTATGTCCGCTTTCATACCTGTTTTAATTTTGGTCAATCTAGTTTGGAAAAGAACAAATTAGTTGGTTTTTTTTTTTTTATGGATTTCTTTATAGATAATGTTAGCGGTATTAGAAAATTTTATTAACATGAAATAAAAAAAAAATTATACTTAATCTATGGACATAAACCTTAACCCTTAATTTGGTCCAAGATATTATTAGAGCATTCCCACTTGGTTTGGTCCCGTGTAATTTTATTTTCCCTGCTAGCAAGATTATGAATTCCAACTATCTTTAGTTTTGTTGGAATAATTTCACAAGTCATAGTACACTCGGAGTAATAGACCACCAGCAACTGCACCTATAGGCCAAGACATATTCTATATAGCCCATCGAAAAAAGGGATTATAACTATGAGATTTCAGGTTGTGAACTTGTCATTGACACGGATTTTAAACAACTAGTTAACAAGAAAGTTAATCCTCGCACTGAATAAAGTTGCAGGCATTGAGTTTAGCAGCATTATTAACAAGGAAGAGCAGAAACCATGCAACTCCATCATCATGCATGAGTGGTATTTTTGGAAATACAACTATACATGCATATGAGGGTCCTAATTGTCATGAAAAAATGGGCATGTACATGAAAATCTATAAGCATTTTGAAAAAAATATATTCTCACTCATATATCTTTTTCAAATTTATATAGACAATAGTTAAAAGGCTTAATTACTGGTGCACCTTTGAAAGTGTGAAAAAATCTTACTCTGCCTCTTGAAACTTATTTTGATCCAATTTACTTACTTTTTAAAATATGTAAACGTGTCTCATTTATCGTATACCATTAGCTTCATTAAGTTTTGGGATGTGCTATCCACACAACCTTTATTAATTTTTGTCCGTTTATCTTTTTCAATTCATCCGTTCCGACGATCGAAAATTAAAAAGGTGTGTGATCCCTAAGTTTTTCTTCAATGTCGCTCACGTTAACGTGTCATTCATATGTCGAAAGATAGAGTACCTTTTTGCCTTTTCCTGTTGTCTAACTCAATACAAGTCTGTCCTTCTCCTTCACTTCTTTAGCTCATTTCACTCTCCCTCTCTCTCTCACTGATTTCTATCTCTTGGTCTTATTGACTTTTGGTTAAATAATGTTTAAAAAAAATAAGTTTTCACCTTTTTTATAATTTGTGATTCTCTTTTCCACGTGTGAGTGAGAGAGTAATGTTTAACTCATATAAATGACAAGTTTGATATTCAGTTGTTACTTTCTTATTGCGTGCCTTTAACAGCAAATTCTTATCACAATAAAGCATGCAACAAATCAAGTCTTAATGTAGTATTTGAAAAACATTACATGTCAAAATTACAAAGCAATCTTTTGTATAAATTAAGATAAAATATTGTTCAGATTATCGAATCACATGCATAATTTCCCAGTGGTTCACATAAAACCTCTGCAAAGGCTTCTATAAATAACACTTCGTCTTTGGCAATCTTCACACATGCATTAGCAATCAAACGTGCTTTTCAAGGAAGGTAATGATAAGCTAATTAACCTTCCGGCGACTGTTCTTGAACGAAATGCGATCCTTCGGACATGAATTGAATATTCAAATTGGGGACAAACTTTTCACCCTCCCAATGTCGATGTAGTAATCTATCCCTGGAAATTTGTTTGCATAATCCTTGCCTCCCATGATATAAAGTGCATGAACTTTAACAATTAGATTCGTCAAGCCGAATTCTTCTCTAAGTGCCCTACCAATACATAACGTAAAGTTCAAGCTAGCAGGGTTAAACTAATTTCAAATGATAGGTCTGATGATTCGATAACAATGTTTTTTTCATTAACTCTTCTAGTATGCGGAAGTAGTAGTGATTCGAAGATCAAATGCGTTTCCTATACGGAATGTGCAGTGCAGTTTGGAAGCCCGATTTCTCATACAGAGCTCCATATGCTGCAAGATCTTCCTTGGTGAACCAAGGGGGAAGAGGGTTAGATGGATCCACCAAGTCCATGATCTCCTGGTTTTCTGCAGCTATTGGTATTTCACTTCTGGAGAAAAGGATGTAAATGTTCCAAACAACTGTTTTCGCATCAAAGCGCCCAAAATCAGCCTCTGCCCGGCCAGGTTCCAATAGTAGTGGTAACAGTAAGTTGTAACTTGTAAGCAAACTAGTCATGGCATAGATATAGATAACAAGACCAAGAAAATGCACACCTGCCGTCTTGAAATGTAGAAGACCTCAGGGAACTTTTTATCGAATTTAGAAGGCTTGGTGGCATGATTGGCACTCCGATTGTTGTAACTCCCAAGACCCTATCTGGGTATGCAAGGGAAAATAAGTACGCTGGCCAAGCTCCAAATTTTTTTTCCGACGAGGAAAACCTACGTAAAATTTATGATCAAACGTGTTACATTGCAATTCTCTTAAGCTCTTACTGCATAATATGATTGGCACATAAGGAAATATAAATGTTATAATCCTTCAAACAATAAGCTTTTCATTTGCTGGACAAACAACAAAGCAAATAAATGCACGATGTAGAGATTTTCACACTCTCGTTCTCCTGCTACACTCTCCTGTTTTTTGTATCTTTAATTCTTCTTTGATTTATTCAACCCAATATGAACAAACGCGCGTAGAAAATTGGAGTTTGGAAATCACAAATGTCATCTAAATTTGATTACAACAAATTGCTTTTCCAATCAAACTTGTAATAACAACCAAACAATGATTAATGAAACAAAGAACCAACTTTCAAATTTGAAGCTCAATTTCTAGCCAAAATTATAAACAAAAAAGGCCAAAAATTAAAAATAAAAAAGTGTATCTAAAAAGTTTGTACCTTAGGAATAGCAAGGGAAACGAGAATTCCAAAGAGGACACTGATGAGGTCGTGGTAGGAGGCTTTGTCTGGTTGGGAAGGCGGGTCGGAGAGTCCGTGTCTGCGATAATCGGGAGCAATGGCTCGGAAGCCGGAGTGGGCCAGACCAATCATCTGGTGCCGCCACGAGTACCAAATTTCAGGGAAACCATGGAGGAACACGGTCACATTGGGACCTATATAAAAACAGAGAAAGACGGCGATTGATCGATTGTGTTCGTGTTCGATTTTACTAAAAAAAAATAAGTACGGGGTACGGATGAGGAAGTGGGGAGGAAGATATTCTGACCTGTTCCGATGTCGGCAACGTGGAGCTTTAGGCCTTGTACGGTGATGTACTTGTGCTGTATTTGTTCCATTTCAGTCTTCCCTTACGAACAAGAGAGAGAGAGAGAGAGAGAGAGAGAGAGACAGACAGAGAGTTAAGTTCTAGTTCAGAAAATGTATGCAAAGTTGAATACAATTTCCAAAGCCCTAAATCTTCATAGCCAATAACATCAGAAAGTGTTCGTCCTAAAGTTGAATATAATTACCAACTAGCTCTCAAGTTTAGTGATATTTCGCAGAGAAATGCAAAGGAGGCTATCAAAAGTGGGCTCTCCATAGACTCTTTGCATCTCATGTTTTTGGAACAATATTGTAAAATATTGGCACATGAATTAACACAAAATGTCAAGATCTATAGAGAATTCAACTTTTGAGAGAGCCCTTAGCATTTCTCTACTTCGAATCCGCACTCGGATCATCCAAATGAATTAATTTCCTTTTAATCAAATTAGTACTAATGACAAGAAAAACTTCTGGGATGCCAAAACAAAAGGAAAAAGGAGACTTGTATTTTGTTTACCATATGTACCAACCTAAACAAACAGGAGATTCCAACAAATATCTATGGAGTTAAAGGAAAAAAAAAAGATTTTTTAAATTAAGCAAGTTAATTGGAAAAAAAAACTAAAAAATACTAAGAATTTTTTTAAATATATACATATAAAAAGTCGGTTTAAATAGATGGAGAAAAAGTAGGAGACAGATTTGATAGTTTTAGTTTTTATAATTACTATATCATCCTTCATTTTTATGTTTTATTATTTTAACTTACTAAGAATAAAAAGGGTGAAAAGGAAATGAGAAGTGTTATTGACACTTCAAAAATCTTATTCTATACTTGTATTTTTCTTTCCTAATATAGAATGTTTGGAGTGTAGAATGAAATTTTTGAAGTGCTAATAACAATTCCCAAGGAAATTTCACCCTCTTTAGTATTAGATTAATTCCCAAACGCTAATGTCGTTTCCACGTGGTTTGTATAGAGTTACAAGATCGCCGGTGCTTTCGCACAAGGGATAGCTAGCCCATGACGTCACAATGTCACCATGTGGTCTGGGCCTCCGAGTTGACTCACCGAGTCTATATATCTATACATACACACATCTTCTAGGGTTTATAGCTTTCCTATAAAAAGGCAGGATTTCTCGAATTCTACAAGGGAAAAATTTGTAAAACTTGCATCTTTTGTTGTCTGTACTCAAGCTTGAATCACTACTTCCGTATTTTAGATGAATTTAGTGTAATTATCTTCACAGTTCGACGAATTGGAGCTCCAAAAATTGATATTGATTGGTAGGTCACAATACAAAACCTTAAATTCAGATCTTTTTTTATTCTATTTTTTTGATCAATTGAAGTCAAATTTAATAATTTGTTTACTGAATACCTAAATAAATATGAGATGAATGCTGTATTTCATTAACTGCCTTTCTTCCCTTATAATGTACTATTTATGCTAATACCCAACTCTAACTGTCATCACAAGATGATGCCATCGGGCATCTTAACAGCCATGTCCCGGAGAATGACGGGAGGAGGCGTGCACTGACGCTTACAGTTGGCAACTATGTGAGAAGAAGAGGGCTTCTCTAAACATATGGAAAACCTTAAATGCATTAATAAGTTAAATTAAACCCCCACAGAAACAAGAAAGTTCAAAAAGAGAGAACGTATTAAAAACAGATCAAGGCATGCAAAAATATAAACTGTATCTACAATCTTACATTTATTATAAAATAATAAAAAAGTAATAATTTTATTTTTAATTTCTGACTTTATAAAAAAATATTATTTATTTATTTTTATTAAGTTTTTTGGCCAAAAAATCTGGACCATTCATTAATTTCGTGTACATTATCGCTTGAAGTAACCATATTTGAATCACACGATGGTATTGCCAAATTGTATGTATTATTTGAAAGAGAAACGTTACATGCCACGACAGAATTAGGGGGCGTTTGTTTGCCCTCACTAAGTCGGACTGGACTGGACTGGACTAGCTATTAGTCCAATACTGTGTTTGTTCCATGCTGGGACTAACATTAATGAGACTAAAGGGGACTAGCATGGACAAAACCCTTCACTAAGAGGTCTTAGCGAGACCCCCCAATAACCATGGGACTAGCTAAGACTATCCTCTTTTTCTCGTCCTTGTCATGCTCAACGACCACTCCCGACAGACTCCTCATCATCTCCGGTCACCGAGATCAATCATTAACTTTCCGACTCTTTTTCAGATCCATTTCACAACCAACTTTCATATAAAATATACAAAATTGAAGCTGGGAGTGACAAGATTATAATTCTACCTGAATCGAGGCCAAAATGTGGTCGAATGTGGCCAGAAAATGGCCTAGAAGTCTCGGCCTGTTTGGGCTTCTTCAAATCCATGACAGATTCGAGCATGCAAAGCTAAGATCTCGGTCAAGGGATGGTGATGAATTTTTTGGCAGTGTTAACGTCATCCAATTTAACAAGGGTTGGCTGGAAAATACATCGGGAAACTTGCAACTCGTCAGGAAAATTAGAGCCGTGAGGTTCCGTTCGAACAACGCATAGCTAGAGAAAGAGGGAGGACAGAGAAATAGAGACTGGAATCGGTAAGGAGTTTGACCAGAAATGAGAAAGAGACATGAATTGAGAAGTCTGAGAGGAAAAAAAGAGGGAGAGGGTGGGACGAAGAATTGAGAGAAGAGGAAGAGAGTGGGACGGAAATGGTAGGAAAAGATGCAGAAAAAGATAAGTTCATAATAAAATATTAATAATTTATATATTAAATAATATAATATTAGAATTTGTTATTATCCAGCTTCTTAGTCCAATACTGCACCAAACGCTTCACTAAGTTAGTCCAGTTTAGTCTAGTCTAAGCCAGTCCAGCTTAGTCCTTGAAGCTAATCCAGTCCGAGATAGTCCAGCGCAACAAACGCCCCCTTACAGAGTTAGCCTTCTGCATAAGATTCGTCACCGCTACACTATTGGCAGTTTCATATCACAAGTTTATTTCCAAGGGACAGATCTCACTTCGTCACTGGCAATCTTCGAGCAAAGCATTAGCGTTTCAAATGTGCTTTCCGAGGAAGGTGAGGATCAGCTGATTGACCTCTTCAGGCGACTGTTCTTGAACAAAATGCGTTCCTTCGGGAAGAAATACAATCTCCAAATCGGGGACAAACTCTTTGATCTTTCCACTGTTTATGTAATCCTCTATCCCTGGAAATTTGTTAACATAATCCTTGCCTCCCATTATAAAAAGCGCCGGAGCTTTAACTATTGGATCTGCTACAGAGGACTCTTCTCTAATTGCCCTATCAATGAGTAAAAAGAGTTCAGCAGTCATTAACGAGTATGTGCTTACAACTTGGTCAAATATTGCTAGGGGTGATCGTTCTGTCTACATTAACAGTTTGAGTATGTAACAGTATGAAACCACTTGGTCAACTACATTACCTGTATGGAACTTGCAGCGCAGTTCGGAAACCCGATTTCTCATACAAAGCTCCATATGCGGCAAGATCTTCCTCACTGAACCAAAGGGGAAGAGGCGTAGATGGATCCACTAGGTCCATGATCTCCTGGTCTTCTGCAGCTATTGGTATTTCGCTTCTGGAAAAAAGGATGTAAACATTCCGAACAACTGTTTTCGCATTAAGGCGCCCAAAATCAGCCTCTGCACGTCCAGGGTTCCTGTAACATAGGCAACAGTTAGTTGCAAACTCGCGAGAAATTCATGCTTGCCATAGTATTGAACATATAACAAGACCAGGTAAATGCACACCTGCCATCTTGAAATGTAGAAACCTTCTGGGAGGTAGTTGCCCGTTTTACGAGGGCCTGGTGGCATGATTGGCAATCCTATTGTTACAACGCCTACGACCCTCTCGGGGTGCAGAAGAGAAAATAATGTCGCTACCCCAACTCCAAAATCTTTTGCAATTAGGAAAGCCTATGCAAATTTGAATACAATTTCCAAAGCCTTAAATCTTCAGAGCCATTAACATCAGAAAGTGTTCATCCAAAAGTTGAATACAATTACCAACTGGCTTTCAAGTTTAGTGATATTTCGAAGAGACATGCAAAGGGGACTCTATCAAAAGTGGGCTCTCCATAAATTCTTTGCACCTCATGTTTTTAGCACAGTATTTTATAAAATTGGCATAGGAATTGATGTTAAACTGTAAGATGCCAAGGTCTATAGAGAGTTCAACTTTTGAGAGAGTGCCCTTAGCATTTCTCTACTTCAAATCCACACTCCGATCATCCAAATAAATTAATTTTCTTTTAATCAAATTAGTACCAATGACAAGAAAAACTTCAGGGATGCCAAAACAAAAGGAAAAAGGAGACTTGTATTTTATTCACCAAGGAAAAAAAAGATTTGTTAAATTAAGCAAGTTAATTGGAATTAATAATAATTAAGGAGAAGAATCCGATGATTCTTTCTAATAAGTACCTTGGGAATAGCAAGGGAATCGAGAATTCCAAGGATGTCACTGGTGAGGTCACGGTACGAGGTCTTCTCGGATTGGGGAGGAGGGTCGGATAGTCCGTATCCGCGGTAGTCGGGAGCGATGGCCCGGAAGCCGGCGTTGGCCGCCGCAACCATCTGGTGCCGCCACGAGTACCAAATTTCCGGGAAACCGTGCAGGAACACGACCACATCGGAACCTATGATAAAAAAAGACGGCGATCGATCGATTATGGTTGTGTTCGATTTTGTTAAGAATAATAAATACGTTACGGTGCTGGACGAGGAATTGGGGAGGAAAATAATCTGACCTGTTCCGATGTCGGCGACGTGGAGCTTCAGGCCTTGTACGGTTATGTACTTGTGCTGGATTTGCTCCATTTCAGGTGGTTTTTCAGACGACAATCACAATGTGTACGAACAAGAGAGAGAGAGAGAGAGAGAGAGAGAGAGAAAGAGAGTTCCGACAAGACAATGTTTGGACTTGCCAAAAAAATGAAGCAGCTAGCATCAAATAGTAGGGCATTTACGTCCCTAAACCAAGTTACATTTTTATTTTACTATTTATCATTACTAGTCTTTTTTATGTTGTTTTCCTTGGGGCTTCCTCTTATCATTTTGAGAATTTTAACGAAATATTTTTAGTATTGTTCATTTTTAATGAAAAATTATATTTTATTTTTATTTTTTGGTATTATTTACTACACCTTTATTTGTTATTTTTCATTAAAATTAATTTTTTTTTTAACTTTTCGTTATTTTTCATTATAATTTTTATCTTGTTTCAGAAAAGAGATATTGTGACTCATATTTTAATTCTAATTAGATAGTGTAGTGCATATATCCGTTTCAAATTTATTTAGCAAAAGATTAAAATACTTAATTACTTTTGTGCCTTTGAAAGTGTTTGACAGTCTCACTTTATCTCTTGAAACTTCTTTTGATCCAGTTTACTTACTTGTTAAAATGTGTAAATGTATCTTATTTTATCGTATGTCGTTAGCTTCATTAAATTTTCTATAAATGTCGCTTATGATGACGTGTGAAAAAAGAGGACCTTTTTGTCTTTCCCCTTCTCCAACTTAATAAAGTCACTTCTTCTCCTTCACTCTTTGATTCATTTCACTCTCTCTCTCACACTGATTTCTATCTCTTGATGGTATTGATTTTTGGCTAAATAATCTTTAAAAAATATGAGTTTTCCATCTTTTTTTATAATAATTTATGGTTCTCATCTCCCTCTGTGAGTGAGTGGGTAATATTTAACTCATACAAAAGACAGCTTCAATATTCAATTACTACTACTTCATTGCATGATTTTAACCGCAATTTCTTAACTAAAAGTTTTAATGACATTACTGTTCGTTCGTTCAAAAGTTTTTTCGGTCCGGGATGTAGGTAAATCCTTAAAAGTGCATTAATAAGGAAAATCAAACCACCACAGAAACAAGAAAGTTCAAACAGAGAGAACAAATTAAAAACAGATCAAGCAGGAAGTCTCCTAACCAAAAAGACAAACTGCATCTGCAAACTAGCTGATTAAACCAGGAAATTTCCTAGCTTACATGGTCATCGTGGTCGTCGTCATCATGATGGTTGTCACCACCCTCGTCATTAGTATCGTCGTCGGCGTCATCCTCACTATCATCCTCATCATCATTTTCATAATCCTCATGAAAATCATCATCATTTTCGGTGGGAATTTCTTCTAAGGCCCTATCGTAAGGGATAGGATAGTAACGATAGTACGAACGACCTTCGAAAGTCTTGTCACACACTAAACGTACCCCTGTTTTCTTCACCATGAACTCGCTACGTAAACGTTCCCCTGTTTTCTTCACCATGAACTGATCACTACGTAGAATCTTTGCAATAACAAGGACCGAATCGCCTTCTTCGAAATTGAACTTATCTTCCCATAACGGTAAATGTCCCAGCCAAAGATAGTCTCCACCGCAAGCTGGTGGGCTCATTAGGTCGACAAAAAAACTAGTACGCTTGGTGTGATTAATAACACAAATGAAACAAGAACCAAAAAACACGCTGTCGACATCAATAAAAGAACAATAAGCCATGCACACAGCCAACGCTTTTGGATTACGACCAATTTCCTTAGGCACTTCGAAAGAGACTTGGGCACCCTCGTTGACATGATTGAACCAAGTGGGAATTTGTCTTCCTGCAAGAGTTATGTGTCCACGTCCTGTCCATCCCTATACCATGTTGAACATGATTTGTGTAAGCAATACAAATATAACGCACATATTTGACAAATAGGGGGTTTTGGGGGGGTTCAGAGAAAGGGAACCTGTAGCGTGCTATCCTTAAGAAGGTAATCTGTGAGATTGTTGTGTACTGGCATATGAAGTATAAGGCCCGAGTTTAACGCGCTATCCAAGCCTGGAAACTCAATTAGTTTGGGGGAAGAGAGAACCATGTGCGCCGACATACCTGAAAAATCTGGCATTCTTTCTACTGCAGGGCATTTGTATATGTCCAGGAGATACAAACTTTGCGGTAAATCTGGGATCTCAACAAGGTTTCTGCAACCATTCAATAATAGTTGACCAAGCTTGGAGATGCCAGTGAGGCTTGGAAGGCTATGAAAATCATTGCAGCTTAGATTTAAGTTCACTAAACAAGGTAGACCACTCCCAAAATCATTAGGCACTTCCATGAAATTGCTCTTTTCCAAATTTAATTCTGTTAAAGAGCGTAAGCCCTGTAAGGAAGGTAGCTGCAAAAAACACTTCAAGCAACTCAAAGATAAGCGCTCGAGCTTCTCCAGTTGTACGATGGAAGGTGGTACTTCTTTTATGGCCGTCCCATCTACAAGAAGAGTGATCAATGATGCCATTTTTCCCAAGTGCTCAGACAAGATTTGGAATCTTGAACAACCATGAAGAACAAGAGTTTTGACAGATTTTGACTTGTAGAAACTCCTCGGGAGAGCCTTAAGCGTTTCACAGTCTTTCAAATTCACCAACACAAGACTCTTGAGATCTCCGATGGACTTGTGAACCTTAGTCAACCTCTTACAGTCCTTGAGTATCAATTTCTCAAGATTTGGGAGTCTTGAGAAGTCTGGCGATTGTGTTAGATCGTGGGAATGGCTGAGATTCAGAATCTTCAACTTATCAAGCAACTGTTAGGCAAAACCAAATTGAAATAAAAATTTAAAATCCAAAAAGAAGATAAAGACTGCATAAAAATAATTCTAATTTGGTTCAGGTTACATTGTACGTAGCCCAGAATCCTCACAAAGAACTTGTTTGAGGCTGCTGTACCGCATGTCAATAGCGACCAAGTTTGGTTGACACAGGTCTTTCGGTATGAACTCCAACGGGAATCCACGATAGCACAGCCATCTTAATTTTTTGGAAAGACATTGGTATCCCCCAGTGAGCCGAACATACTTGAGTTGGAGCAATCTGAGGCTCTTCATATTTGTAAATGCCTCAGTACTGAAACTAATCTCTTCAACACTTGGCAAATCCAACGCTAGCCCTTCAATTTTTTCAGTTCCCTGCTAAGCAAAACAAGGGACTAAATAAGAAAGGTTTGCATGCAAAATAGTTCGATTACTTATATATGATTCTCTTCTATTCCTTACGCATTTAACATAAAGTTTGATTGGAAAAGTGCTTACAGATTTGTCTATCAATACAGCTTTTACATCTTCAGGACGCCACAATCTACTGCGTTCTTTTGGGAATTTAGAATTTTCTGCACGCACGATATCTCTGCCCATATCCCGAAGCAAATCATGCATCATTATCTTGTTTTTTGTGTTAACAGTTACAAGGCACCGGTCAAGGAGGACCTTGATTCCTGCTGTTGCATAAAATCCACAACCATCCAAGATTTGCATGACATCATTCTTATCCATTCCAATAAAGAAACAAGATATATCACAGAATATCTCCCTCTCATAGTCATCATTCAACCCTTCGTAACTTATTTTCAGCTGTTCCTGAATGTTATCAAGAGGAATTTCTTTCAATTTATCCAATGTACTTTTCCAATCTCCTATGCTTCGGTTGAACAGGTTAGAATCTAAAACTTGAAGAGCCAATGGCACTCCTCCACAGTACTTGACAACTTCTCTTGCGAGCTCGAGATATTGACTAGGACAACAACTACTTCTGAAAGCATGCCAACTTAGGAGCTCAAGAGCTTCTTCTCGTTTCATTTCTATCGCTGGATATACCATATCAACTGCAAATTCTTTTAGCACATGTTCGTTTCTTGTTGTGATGATAATTCTGCTCCCCGGGCCAAAAGAGTGGCGATTTCTAGCTAATTCGTGTAGCTGCTTCACATTGTCTACATCATCAAATATGACAAGTACCTTTAAGCGTCGAAATCTTTCCCCTACCAAGGTGGTCCCTGCAGCAACACTGCTTACTTTTGTCTTGGTGGTTTGCAAGATATCAGAAAGAAGTTGTTTTTGCAATTTTTCTAGTTTCTTTTCCCTCACTTTTTCAAGGAAACTTTTACCTTGAAACCTGTCAGAAAATTGATTATAAATGGCTTTAGCAAGCGTTGTTTTACCTATTCCACCCATACCCAAAATTCCAATCACCCGAACATCATCTGAATCTCCAATGCATAAATAATTACTGATATCTTGTACTCGAGAATCTATTCCGACTTGGTAGGGCGCTACGTCTAAGTATGTGTTGTTCAGCTTCCTAGTGACTTCCTCAGTAATCATCCTGATAAACTTTGCTTCATGCCTGTCATTAGTCAAGTTGAGAAGCAAAACAAAGATTGTTATACAATTACAAGACGAAATTGAACTAATACACAAAATTACTTATCATGACTAGAGATTTTATTTAAGACAATTTTCTTTGAGGTGTCGTGTTTAAACTAAGCAAACATCAATTAAAAATTCAAATTAGAAACACAAACAAACAAAACCAGCATCCCTTCCCTCTGAAGCCATTAGCCGGCGGCTCCCCTGCTGTGATTAGTGTAAGCTTAACAGTTGAAGCCTTATTGTATGATTTTATTAAAATAGGTCTAAGAAATCGCATGCTTCCAAATTAGTAAGCAAAGCCTAAATTCATAAGAGAAGAAATTAGTACCCGTCCAAAGTGTTTTGGAGATCCCAACCAGACAAATTCGAAGCTTTAGTAAGAGCAGTTCTCCACCTCTCTACCTTACAACTCTCTACCTTCTTTTCATCTATATGGTCCTGAAACGATTGTCCAAAACTGCCAGTCTGTTTCCTGACATGCGAAGGATCAATGTCATAGAATATCGGCAAAACTAACTGCCCCAGCGTTCTTCTACACTCCATGATCTTAAGCAGCTCCTCAAGGCACCAGCTGGAGTTCGCATACTGTCTAGAGAAGACGATGATAGAGATCTTAGAACCTTGGATTGCCCGCTCAAATTCGGTTGTTAATTCTTCTCCCTTTTTTAGTTCTTCGTCGTCAATAAAAGCATTGATTCCGGCCTTTGTTAATGCTTCATAGAGGTGGCCTGTGAAGTTTTTACGTGTGTCTTCGCCTCTGAAGCTTATGAACACATCGTAGAGCGAACCTTTTGAGAAGGAGGACGAGGACAAGGAGGCAGAGGAGGACGATGAGGGCGAGGAGGTGGAGGAGGACGATGAGGATCTGGGCGAGGAGGAGGAGGACGACGAGGCTTTATCCGGGGCTGAGACATTCATTTGGCGAAAGATGAGGCCGAGGGAGCAGAGGAGCAAGATGAGGACATCAAGGACAAGACCGGAATTGCGAGCCGCAAAGTGGTAGGACACCAACACCAGCACCAAAGTTAACAGCTTCCCTAAGCTCGACCAGGTATCCATTTCCTTCCTTTTCTTTAGGCAAATTGAAGGTTTTTGGCGATATTGATTTTCTTTCTTCTGCAGGACTTCACTACAAGAGTTAATTTGAAAGTACCCTATTACAAAATCCCGGATTATGACGACCTCTAACAGTCTTTCTAGTCAATTTTTTAATTCAACTTACAACTTTGGTAGAGAGTGCCCAAATGCATATTTGCAGGGCTCTCACTTTCAGTATGGCTAGATATCAAGGAAAATTATATATATTTTATATACAATTTGGTATAAAATAATCGAAGTTGTTGTGGAAAATGGCATCAAGGACGTTAGAATTGGTAGTTTAATTAGTGGACTTATCTTTCACTATCGTTACCATCCGTAGCAGTTGAAGAATGACTCTGACATGTGACCAATCACTTTGGATTTACTTGTGCTCTTACTTTAGAACGTTGAAAATTCAAACTGCATCAAAACAACGGATCGATTGACTTTAAAGAAGTTCCGACCAAAGTGGGACAAAGGGAAGGCCCCACAGTCCCGGAAAGAGGCTCCACCTCTTCCATCCTCCCGGGTGCGTTCATCAGCTAGACCTGCTGACAGGGCAGCTGCTAAGGATGATGCATTGAATGAGTTATGAGCAAAACGTTTGAAGCAGCAGGACCCTGAGGCTCACCGCAAGTTGAGAGATGCTTCTAGAGGAGGAAGTCCAATCAATCGAAGTTTCTCACACCTGAACAGGAAATCCTTCACTGCAGTGGGTCGGAGGAGCTCTAGTCAGAGTGACAGTGATAGTAGGTCTCGTAGTGAAGATGATGGATCATCAGGGGATGATGCAATGATTGACAGTGATGATGAAAGGTCAGAGGGACTAACTTTTGATGATATAAAGGAGATTACCATTCGAAGGTCGAAACTCGCAAAGTGGTTTATGGAGCCGTTCTTTGAAGAGTTAATTGTGGGTTGCTTTGTGAGGGTTGGAATTGGGAGGTCAAAATCTGGGCCTATCAGTGGTGGGAGCAGTACGGGGAGGCATGGCGGCAACTGCAGCAGCTTTGGAAGCTGCGGCTGGTGTAGGGAAGTTGATTGATGCGAGTGCCCCTGTTGATTTTGGAACAAAGTCAAATCTAAAGCATAATTTTGAGCTGCCAATATCAGAAGTTTGGCAGGCCATAGGGTGCTCAGAAAGGGTTCCTGGCCAGAAAGCAGCGAATAGAAGCAACAGTTGGGTGCCAAGTCCCGGAGAATGACGGAAGGAGGCATGCGCTGACGCTTACAGTTGGCGACTACTTGATAAGAAGAGGGCTTCTCTGAACATATTAAAAACCTTAAATGCATTAATAAGTTAAATTAAACCACCACAGAAATAAGAAAGTTCAAAAAGAGGGAACATATTAAAAACAGATCAAGGCATGCAAAAAAATACATACTGTATCTGCAAACTAGCTGATTAAACCAGAAAGTTTCCTAGCTTAGTTGTCATCGTTTGTCATCATCGTCATCTTTGGCATCAACGTCCTGATCCTCCTCATCATCATCTTCATCATCGTCTTGGTCCTCCTCATCATCATCCTCATTGTCGTTGTCATCATCCTCATCAAAATCATTATCTACATAATCCTCATCAGAATCAACTTCGGTAGAAATTTTTTCTAAGGCCCGTTTGTAAGGGATAGAATAGTAAAAAAAGGACCAACCTTCAAAACTCGTAAGTTTGTTGCATAGTAAACGTACCCCTATTTTTACCACAGTATCTGGAAATTTTGCAACAACATGGACCAAATCTCCTTCTCCAAATTGAACTCAGTTTCCGACAACGATATATTTCCCAGGCAAAGGTACTCTTGTTTGACAATATCATTTCTTATACTGACAAAAAAACTAGTACCCTTGGTGTGATTAATAACATAAATATCATAATACCCCTGAGGATCAGACGAGCTGTCGTCACGAGCAACACAAGCCAGGCACACAGCCAATGCTTTTGCATTAGAACCAATTTCCTTATGCACTTTAAAAGAGACTTGGGAACCCTCGTTGACATGATTGAACCAAGTGGGAATTTGTCTTCCTACAAGTCTCATGTATCCATCTCCTGTCCATCCCTATACCATGTTGAACAAGATTTGTGTGAGTAATACATGCATAACACACATATGCGAGGAAGGAAGGAGAGGGGATGCTGTGGAAGAGAGAGAACCTGTAGCGTGCTATCCTTAAGAAGGAAATCCATGACATTGTTGTGTGTTAACATATCAAGTCTGAGGCCCGAGTTTAACGCGCTCTCCAAGCCTGGAAACTCAATGAGTTTGGGGGAACCGAGATACACGATTGTCGACATGCCTGAAAAATCTGACATTCTTTCTAATGCAGAGCAGTCCTTCATCTCCAGGATACCCAAACTTTTTGGTATATCTGTGATCTCGACAAGGTTTCTGCAACTATCCAAGCGTAGTTCAATAAGCATGGACAGGCCACTGAGGCTTGGAAGGCTCCGAAAATTATTGTTACCTAGAAATAAATACTCTAAACAAGGTAGACTACTCCCAATATCATTAGGCACTTCCATTAAATTGCAGTGTCCCAAAGATAACTCTGTTAAAGAGCCTAAGCCTCGTAAGGAAGGTAGCTGCAAAGAACACTTCAAGCAACTCAAAGATAAGCGCTCGAGCTTCTCCAGTTGTACGATGGAAGGTGGTACTTCTTTTATGGCCGTCCCATCTACAAGAAGAGTGACCAATGATGCCATTTTTCCCAAGTGCTCAGACAAGATTTGGAATCTTGAACAACCATGAAGAACAAGAGTTTTGACAGATTTCGACTTGTAGAAACTTCTCGGGAGAGCCTTAAGCGTTTCACAGTCTTTCAAATTCACCAACACAAGACTCTTGAGATCTCCGATGGACTTGTGAACCTTAGTCAACCTCTTACAGTCTTTGAGTATCAATTTCTCAAGATTTGGGAGTCTTGAGAAGTCTGGCGATTGTGTTAGATTGTGGGAGTGGCTGAGATTCAAAATCTTCAACTTACCAAGCAACTGTTAAGAAAAATCAAATTAAATTAAAATTTTAAATCCAAAAAGAAGATATAGAGAGCATAAAAATAATTCCTAATTTGGTTCAGGTTACACATTGTACTTACCCCAGAATACTCACAAAGAACTTGTTTGAGGCTGCTGTACTGCATGTCAATAGCGACTATGTTTGGTTGACACAGTTCTATTGGTATGAACTCCAATGGGAATCCATGCCAGCACAGCCATCTTAGATTTTTGGAAAGACATTGGTATCCCCCAGCAAGCCGAACGTAGTTTAGTTGGAGCAATCTCAGTCTCTTCATATTTCTGAACGCCTCAGTACTGAAACTAGTCTCATCAAGACTGGGCAAATTCAAAGCCAGACCTTCAATTTTTCCAGTTCCCTGCTATCCGAAAAACACTCCAAATAAGAGAAGGCTTTGCATGAAAAAAAGGTAGATTACTTACATATGCTTACACGTTTAACATAAAGTTCGATTGGGAAAGTACTTACAGATTTGTCTATCAATACATCATTTACATCTTCAGGACGCCACAATCTACTCCGTTTTCCAGGAAAATTGGGTTTTTCTGCATGCACGATATCTCTGCCCATATCCCGAAGCAAATCATGCATCATAATCTTGTTTTCTCCATTAATAGTTACAAGGCACCGGTCAAGGAGGACCTCGATTCCTGTTTTTGCATACAAGCCACAACCATCCAAGATTTGCATGACATCGTTCTTGTCCATTCCGATAAAAAAACAAGCTATATCGAGGAATATCTGCCTCTTGTAATTATCATTTAGCCCGTCGTAGCTTATTTTCAGTTGTGCCTGAATTTCTCCACGAGGAACCATTTTCAATTCATCCAATATATTTCTCCATTCATCTACAATTCGCTTGAAAAGAGTAGATCCTAAAACTTCAAGAGCCAGCGGCAGTCCTCCACAGTAATTGACAACTTCCCTTGCGAGCACAAGATATTGACTAGGACAACAACTACTTCTGAAGGCATGCCAACTTAGGAGCTCAAGAGCTTCTTCTTGGTCCATTCCTTTCGGCCGATATATCTTATCAACTGCAAATTCTTTTAGCACACGTTCGTTCCTAGTTGTGATGATGATTCTGCTCCCGGGCCAAAAGAGTGGCAATTTCCAGCTAATTCGTGTAACTGCTTCACATCGTCTACATCATCAACTATGACAAGTACCTTTAAGCGTCGAAATCTTTCCCTTACCAAGGCGGTTCCTGCAGCAACACTGCTTACCTTTGTCTTGGTTTGCAAGATATCAAAAAGAAGTTGTTTTTGCAATTTTTCTAGTTTCTTTTCCCTCACTTTTTCAAGGAAACTTTTACCTTCAAACCTTTCATAAAATTTGTTATAAATGGCTTTAGCAATTGTTGTTTTACCTATTCCACTCATGCCCAAAATTCCAATCACACGAACATCATCTGAATCTCCGATGCCTAAATAATTACTGATATTTAGCACTTGAGTATCTATTCCGACTTGATAGGGCGCTACATCGAAGTATTTGTTGTTCAGCTTCGTAGTGACTTGATTGGTAATCATCCTGATAAACTTTGCTTCATGCCTGGCATTAGTCAAGTTGAGAAGCAAAACGAAGATTGTTATATAACTACAAGACGAAATTGAACTAATACACAAAATTACTTATCATGACTACAGATTTTATTTAAGACAATTTTCTTTGAGATGTTGTGTTTAAACTTAGCAAACATCAATTAAAATTTAAATTTAAATAAGAAACACAAACAATAAAACCAGCATCCCTTCCCTCCGCAGCCATTCGCCGGCGGCTTCCTAGCTGCGATTAGTGTAACATTAACAGTTTAAGCTTTATTGTATGATTTTATTACAGAGGTCTAAGAAATCGTATGCTTCCAAATTAATAAGCAAAGGTATGTTAAAGCCTTAATGCCTTAATTCATAAGAAAAGAAATTAGTAAGTACCCGTCCAAAGTGTTTCTGAGATCCCAACCAGACAAATTCGAAGCTTCAGTAAGAGCAGTTCTCCACCTCTCTATCTTCCACCTCTCTACCTTCTTTTCATCTGTATGTTTCAGAAACGATTGTGCAAAACTACCAGTTTGTTTCCTGACATGCGAAGGATCAACGTCATAGAATATCGGCAAAACTAATTGCCCCAGCGTTCTTCTACACTCCATGATCTTAACCAGCTCCTCGAGACACCAGCTGGAGTCTGCGTACCGTCTTGAGAAGACAATGATAGAGATCCTAGAACCCTGGATTGCCCGCACAAGTTCGGTAGTTATATCTTCACCTCTTCTTAGTTCTTCGTCATCAATAAAGGCGTTGATTCCAGCCTTTGTCAATGCTTCGTGGAGGTGGCCCGTGAAGTTTTTACATGTGTCTTCGCCTCTGAAGCTTATGAATACTTCGTAGAGCGAGCCTTTGGAGGAGGACGAGGACGGGGAGGCGGAGGAGGACGAGGAGGATGAGGGCAAGGAGGTAGAGGAGGACGAGGAGGATGAGGCGGAGGAGGCAGAGGAGGACGATGAGGATGAGGGCGAGGAGGAGGACAAGGACGAGGCTTTATCGGGGACGGACATATTCATTTGGTGAAAGACAAGGCCGAGGGAGCAGAGGAGGAAGATGAGGACATTAAAGACAAGACCGGAATTGCGATGAGCATAGTCGTAGGACAGTAACACCAGCAGTATGATTAACAGCTTCCCTAAGCTCGACCAATTATCCATTGCCTTCAATTTCTTTAGGCAAATTGAAGGTTGTTTGGCGATATTGATTTTCTTTTGTTCTGCCGGAGCTACTTTCTTCTTCTTATCTTGTAATTAATAAACCCACCCGCCTAGTAGCTCTTCTTCTTATCTTATAACTGCCACCAAAATTAAAGACATTTTGAAGAGCACACAAATTAGAGACTAAGCTAAAAACAACCCTTGTGTCTTAAGCAGAACTTGAACTCACCTGACATGGCAACCTCTAATGCAAGGTAGAGAGTAGAAAAGCTAACGCATTGGCAAACAGAAAACCAACAATTTAACTTGCACTGCAAATAAATATTAGTAAAGTTATAGAACTCACTGGTAGCATTACGTATACCAATAAAAAAAAAACCTAAATATCAGTGTTTGGGAAGTTATTTTATTTGAAATGTCACAAGTATCTGGTGTATAGCAGAGTAGACGGTTCTTACAAAACTCAGGGCTTGAAAACAAAATAAAATAAAAATTGAAAAGAAATCAAAACTACTAAAAATTCCAACATTTCTTGATGACTATTTAGTAAAGGATCAAATAATCATGCCATCAAACAAATTTGAGGGAAAAAAAAAAAGTGAACTAAATTTAAGTTGAATAGAGTGACAGTTGCTTACCCAGAAACCCAAACCAAACTCCCAAAAATTCACACAACAAAAACCGTAGAGATCACCAAAGCTGAAAACCAATGCTCCACTGGGATCATCCACACAACAACGAACACCGATCATCGCCACCGATATCCATCTCCTTCCAAAGAAAAAACCCTTTTAAATTCGTAACCCAAGAACCAAAACCCACAAAGAAAATCTCAGGGATGGGCAAGAATTCCCGAGAAAAATTCAAACTTTTTCGGCAAAGATGGTGTTTTTCCCTGGAAAATAAAAACAGAGGAAAAAAAAAAGGAAAATAATCAATCTTTGGGTTTGAAATAGAAAGAGAGTTGAGTTGATGTACTGACATGAAAGTTTTGAGGAACAGTGGCCAGAGAGATCAGGTCTGGGATGCCAAATAAAAACTCCAGGATCTTACCTGATGACAAATCGGTGAGAACGATTTTGGCAAAAGGGGTCGGAGAGGGTTTGAAGCTGGAATTTACTGATGCTGGAGTGAGTCAAGACGATGTTGCAGTCCGGTTGTCGGTCAACGACCACGATTTCTTCATGTGTTTTCCGTCCAGATGGGTTTGTAGTGCGGCTGCGGTATTCGATTTGAAGTGGTGCATAAAGGAAGAGGTGGAGGGTCGGTGAGGAGGAGTTTGAGCTCCTTGTGCAGTTGGCAATCCCAGAGGAGATCGAAATCAAAGCACGCAGGACTGGAGAGAATGAGAGACATCCATCATCAACACGTGGATAGCACAGGCACACATGAAATAACAAAAGATAAGTGAGGGCAAAAACAGAATAATATTGTAGAAGTAACAGTGTTTTGAGCCTATAAAAGCCCGGATCAGGATCCTCTCGTGAGCTGCCAATCTCAATGGTTGCTCTTCAAAAGTTTGGCGGGCCACAGGGAGCTCAGAAAGGGTTCCTGGCAAAGAAGCAGCGAATAGAAGCAACAATTGGGTGCCAAGTCCCGGAGAATGACGGGAGGAGGCATGCACTGACACTTACAGTTAGCGACTGCAAAGAGAAGAAGAAGGCTTCTCTGAAATGGCAATGGTCCAGCCAAGATAACAACCAGAGAGGCAAGACGGACATCATCGTCATTAACAAACAGCACTAGTGGTGCTGGTTTTCAACGGTAAAAGCTTGTTCGTGTAGTCTAGTTGTTTGTTTCAGTCCTTAGTTACAACTAAAAATAAGAAGGCTATATTTGTGTGATTTATTTACTGGAAGTTTGGAAGAGAGCACAAATAATGCAGCTTGTGAGAGATTTGATATTTACAACTTTAATGAGACTACTGTTGCTTCATTCAAAAGTTATTTTGCTTTTTGTTTTTCATACTAGCGATACTGAGGGAGGGAAAGTTAAAAACCGAGTTTTGCTTTTTAGGAAAACTAATGAAAAAAGTTTTAAAAACTTTAAGTTTTAACGATAAGAATAAAGGGTAAAGTGAATAGTATCATGATTGACTTTTTAATGTAAAAATATGATTTTTGATTAAAGTAAACATTACCGTAAATTTTTCGTTAAAACTTTTTTATTTTTTTTCAGTTTGAAGCTCCTGCGGTGTCAAATAGACCCATCATGATTTTTCTTCAGTTTCCTTGGCTTTCAATCCCCTCGTTTGAAGCTAATTTAACTTTCTATTAGTTAGTTGAAAGTCCAAGATGATGTCAAAGGGGAACTTCGGACAAAGTCACCGTGCCAAAATGTCCAACTCCATTGGCTTCCTCCCTGACGAAGGCACAATTAGATTACTGAATAAACCGTTTAAACTTTAGCTTTCCTCAGCAGAAGCGTAGAGGGTTACAAACGTATGTCTTCGATTGATTAATTATGAATTGATGCATTACATTGGGAGCGTCTTTCGGAAGGTTCAAGCGTCTTTGGGAAAAAAACACATTAATTCGACCTAAATTAAAAGGTTTCATCATATGTCACCAAAAAAATAATAATTTGAATTGAAACTCTGCGTATTTTTGAAAAAAGTATCATGACTTACAAAACAAAGCTCAAACACCAAAAATTTGTAGATTACTACTGCGTCTTTTTGTCTTCCTTTCGTTCAATTTCGTCTTCAATCCATTCAGTCATTTGTTTTACATCAAAAATAAACTTTTTTTTTTTACTAGAGTAGCTAATTTTTGTCAAATCTCAAACTTATCCCCATAACCTTAATAATTAACGATTATTTCCCATTTAAGGATATAAAAATTTATAATATTTTTTTTGTCATTGACTAAAAATTAATAATTGAAAAAATAATTAAATAAAAAAATTAACAAATAAAACCATGGGATATTGCGCGGTAAAAGCGAGCCAAGTGCAGCGGTCGCGCCAAGCTTAAGACTGTACTTTCTCTCTCTCCTCTCTCTCCTCTCTCTCACCTCTGACTCTAGAGAGAGAAAGTGGTGGGAGCTTCCACAGCTCCACTAACAGGTATATATTTTTGGTTCCCAATGCCCAAAGCATTTCAGATTTCACTTGCAATCTTTTGCCGCCCTCCGCCATTAAACTCCTCTCCAACTTCCTGTGCAACTCTCACCTGCCCCCCTTTCTCTCCTCACTCTCTCTCTGTCTCTGTCTCTCTCTACTCCATTAAACCCGAAACTCAAAACCCACCAACCAAAATTCACAAAAACCATGTTTGATTGTGAAAGCTCCAAACTTTCCAATCCACTCCATGTACTCATCCACCATATCCAAGAGTTAAAGAGACAGATTCTCTCTCTTCTTCTCTGCCTCCCCACTTCCCTTCTCGCTCTCCTCCTCCTCCTCCTCTTAGCCTACAATGGCTTCTACACCTTCTGCTTCCACCTCCCTTTCCTCCCCGATTCCCCGCCGGAGCGCGCCATTTTCCCTCCTGAAAAACTCGCCGGAGACCCCGTTCCCAAATGGGTTCCTCCCCATTTTTCGTCTTCTTCTTCTTCCACCTCAAGCTCAAAGCTTTCTTCTTCTTCGCCTGTAATGTACGTTGTGAAAGAAGAAAACGCGCCAATGTTCTTGAACCCCCACTTATCTGCTCTGCAAAACCAGAGGAATCCGACGGTACCCATGTCGACGTTCTCGACACACAGGCGGCGGCGTCTGAGAAAGCATAAGCGGAAGCTCAAATCCGTTCCTTCCGAGCCAAAACCCCCTCTGTTTTCGACACGAATTCGATCATTCTTCGCCGGAAACTCCACCTCTCCCTGTAATGTCAGAGTCTTTATGACTTGGATTTCCTCCAAGTCCTTCGGAAGCAGGGAATTGCTTTCCGTGGAGAGCTTGTTCAAGTCCCATCCGAATGCCTGCCTGGCCATCGTGTCGAAATCATTGGATTCCGACAAGGGAATCCGAATGCTGAGGCCATTACAAGATTTGGGTTTTAGAGCAATTGCAATCTCTCCCGATTTCGAGTACTTGTTCAAGGACACACCTGCAGAATCTTGGTATTTCGAGCTCCGGAAAGGGAATGTGAATCCGGGTGGAGTTCCTCTAGGCCAGAATCTATCCAATCTCCTCAGGCTTGCATTGCTGTACAAGTTTGGTGGGATTTACTTAGACACGGATTTCGTAGTTTTAAAGAGCTTGTCGAAGCTCAGGAACGTGATTGGAGCTCAGACAATCGATCCCCGGACGAAGAAATGGAGTAGACTAAACAACGCAGTGTTGGTTTTCGACAAGAACCACACATTGCTCTTCAAGTTCATCCAAGAATTCGCCCTCACATTCGATGGCAACAAGTGGGGACACAACGGCCCTTACTTGGTCTCGAGGGTGGTCTCAAGAGTGATCGGAAATCAGCAAAACCCGGGTTCTAATTTCACAGTCTTGACGCCCTCGGCGTTCTATCCAGTGAACTGGAGTCGAATTCGGAGCCTTTTTCGAGCTCCAACAGACGAGGTTCACTCGAAGTGGCGGCTGGAGAAGTTGAGGAATTTGTGTACTCAGAGCTTTGGAGTTCATTTGTGGAACAGCCAGAGCCGGCGGCTGAAGGTTGAGAAGGGCAGCATTATGGATCATATAATGTCGAATTTTCGGTGTTTTTGAACTCTTCAGCATCAAGCTTTGTCAGTGTAGTATAAGGTTGATAATTTGTTCATTGTCACACTTGTACGTAGAATATGTTTCAAATTTACCATCTCAGTTCATTCGGATTTCGAGTGATGACAGAAGGAATAAGAGAAATATTTATCATTGGTTATGATCGAAAGACTTATCCTATATCTCTGTGCAGTTAAGTTTCTTTTCGTGTATGTGGGAAGAACATGTTTATTATAATCTTTGAAGTCCATTCTGGTTACATTATTGTGAAGGTGATGTATAAGCTTCCAATCAATGTAGGTACCTAACCAAAATGGAGTGACTCGTAGAATTTCACTCTCGTATTTCATACGGTATATTCTGTGTTCAATTATTGACGCGAGTGAATCACACGATGATTGCTAGGAAATTGTTGAAATACCTCTATGAATTTTTTCTACATCCAAAAGGGTAGAATGTCATGGTAAAACTATTAACTGATCCCTCTTAAGGCATCTGAATACATGTCAACTCGAAAAAATAAAATGCCGTGACGCTAGTCCCCTGTAGAACATCTCATTACATTACATGGATGACGGACTATTCAATATTAATGAGCATGTTAGAATGTTATTTATTATTGAAGGGTCGTTTATATATTTAATATGGCCTATATTTTAATTAAATAATTATACTTGTTAGTGGAAGCCCATATAGGAAGTCAATGGCAATTTAACAACATTTAGATGGTGTAACAAGATGCATAATCAAACGTTTAATTCAATGTTTTTCTTAAGTTAGATATAAAAATAATAACCTTCAATCTGCTTTTATCAGTGCATCTGAAATCACGCGTTCGGTTTCATTCTCATCCATTATCATTTGTAAGCAAATATTCTATTTTCACCCTTCAACATCGAAAACAAGATCAATTCTATGTAATTCATGGTGTCTAGTTGAAGTAACCACTATTTTAACACATCCTATTACAAATGTTTATGTTCTTGTCATTCGTTTGACTTAATTAAAATATGTTTAAGTGATTAATCTTCCATGTGGAAATGTGTTTAAGGGGTAATTGTCTGGCATGTGCGTTTGAGGAGGTTAAGCACTAACAATGTTGGTGATCTATCTAAATGGGAGTAAGCATCTAATTTAGGTTAAACACATACTTCTTGCTAATTGTTTAGAGCGGCAAGCCACACAAGACATGCCGCATATCTGCCATATCATGCTTTATCTGCCATTTGACATCAGATAAAAATAAATAATAAAAAAAAACAAATTATTGACTCCGAGTTCTTGTTTCTTTGTTTGATATTATAAAATATATATTTTTTCTGAAGGAATTCTGAAAATATATATTAGAACATGATGAATAAAACTAGGGAAAATTTGAAATAGGTCCAATTTTATAGACTACCTTTTGAAATAGGTCCAATTTTTAGTGACTTTTGACTTTTGAAATAGGTCCAATTTTTAGTTACTTTGGACCCATTTCAAAAAACCCCATAAAACTAACCAATGTAAGAGGTGACAGATTTATGACACTACTTTTTTACATAATTTTTTTTACACATGTTTTTGTGGAGTCCATTTCGTAATATATTTTAACGATCCAAACCATTTATCTTTTAGGTCTTCCCTCAAAGATCATGTTTACAAAGAATCACCAAAATTAAAAACCATATGACTGTTAAGTTAAGGGTTTTGGGTTTGTTTGTAAACCTGTATTCGTCCATGTTATTTACTACAAATGAATACCTTAATAGTTTTGGATTTGTCTAATTTTTAGCAAGAATGTTATATGAATGATGTTCTAAAAGATAAACGGTTCAGATCATTAAAATGTATTAAGAAATAGAATCCACAAAACGTGTGTAAAAACTTGTATAAAAAAATAGCGTCACGTATCGGCTCCTAATGTAATAATATTAACCTCAGATCTCAAACATTAATGAGTTCCAATTAATCTCTGTATCATGGGGGTGTGAAATTGTGAATCTCTAAATCATGTTTGCTGATAACTTTTAAAGTTTCAAATAAAAAAGAAGAGAAAATCATACTCCTATAGCTAATAACGTGCATTTATGATTTGAGGTACGAAAAAAACTTCTTTACTCCGATTTTATTACCTCTCACATATCACACAAGGAGAGATATTAAAACTGGGACAAAGACAGTTTCGTTTAACGGTAAATTAGATTTTAAGTAAATTGTAACTCTTGAATCTACTTGGCTACAGAAGGAAGGGATTAGTTAGGGACCAGTTTCCACTAAGGGCAAATATCCATACTAGAAGTTATATATGTTTAGACATCCATAACTACAACCTTTATTGGATTGTATTGTCTTGTCATGTTGGTCTCCACCACATGTAGCCTTCATGTCTTCTTTCTTTTTCAGTATGTTTCTACCGGAATGGGATATTCTTCGGATCCATTTTCACCTAATCTATTTAGTTCGGAATTCAGATAGTTAAAATTTGATCAAATGATTACAGTTATTATCACTTTTAAATGAGGTATTTGTTTGTAGCCGTTAGATTAAATTTTAACGGCCCAAATCCTGGACTAGGTAGATTAGGTGCAATGATATCCGAAGAAATCCCTTTTTGTTCCTACCCATCAAATGCATATTTTACAATATAGATAAAGTGTTTGTTCGAGACTGCTTCTGAGATGAGGAATATTCAATCAAAGAGAAAGAATACTTAATACAAACTTCAACAACAATAACAACAAAAACTAAGTCTTATTTCATTAAGTGGGGTCGGCTGTGAGCCTGTAAGACTCCTAAAACGTCATTGCGCTCAGTTTTACGCCAAGTCTTAAGTATTTTGTATCTTTTTGTACAATCTCTTTCAAAGTCTTCCTAAGTTTTTAGTTTTTTTTACCTCTTTTGTCCTTAACTTTCGTCTTATAGTCGCATCTTCTAACTGGAGCATGAGTACTATACCAAATTACAATTTTCAATGCCTTTCAAATGCTTCTAAAGCATCACAAGATATAAAGCTTCCAAGTAGGTCAAGTGCTGATATTTGCAAGAAACGTTTCTTCTGTCATTTGGAACCTTGTCACCACATCTTTCATATCAATCCTATCCTCAGGCTAATCTGGGGTACACTTTGTAGATAAGCTGAAGATTGAATACAAGCATTGCTCCTTGGCAGCATAGTTTTCGTCTTCTCGTCCAAGCAGATCTCCGTCCACAGCTTCGATTATCGAACCATTTAAAACATCGATCACCCAACTCTTCAAGCTCATTTGTGCCTGCAAATGTCGCATCAGTAGGCTCCTTTCTTGTAAATGTTTCCATCAACAGAATGCCATAACTATAAACATCGCCTCATGTAGATACAATTCCTTCTGCTCATAACGCGAAAAAAAAAATTATGCAAACAAGAAAGAAAAAGTTATATATATGAACTAATAATGTAGCTAATGGAAAATACATGATCACCTGGTCCCATATACCCGATTGTCGCGAGGGTCTTGGCTCGTGTTATGGATTCCCCTTCCCCCAAGAGTTTGGAAATACCAAAATCAGAAACATGCGCAACCATATGTCGCAATGAACGATCAGTGTTGAATAACCGTGGTGCAGATACTCCAACGCTGATGCAACATCCACCTTTATGTTCAGTCTCTGCAGCATATCAGAAAAATAGTCGCGAGAGTGCAAGTGCAACCATTTCTCGAGTTTCCCGTTAGGCATGGATTCGAGTACCAAAGCTTTGAAATCGAAAACATGCCTCCCTCAACAAGTCAAAGCAAGGGGAAAATTTATTCAAACAGATTAATATTGTTTTGAAAGTTAGGTGTATCATCTGCAGATACAGAAATTTGTACTCCGCATTTTCATTTCTTTCACAAGTCAAAACATTAGACGAGTTCACAGTTGAATTAAACTAAAATATATGAGGATAAAACGATGATTATAAATTCTCCGTGCTGACGTCTGTTCTATAATTAGACTAAAATATATGAAGATATCTCTTATTAGTTTATGGAACCACGATTGATTTTCTGTGTCGCTAATTGTGTTTAATAGTTTTGTCTTGGTGTTAAATTTGTAGAAGTCAACCAAACACCTCATCCTCTTGTTGCGCAAGGTGAATAGAATATTAGCAAAGAGATAATGAAGCTGATTGATCTAAGATCAAGCAGTATCTTCTTCTTTGTATAATTTATGTACATCGTAATTTAACACTTGAGTTAGACCAGTTGGTTGGTACAACATGTCCACCAACATCGATTAGAGTATTTAAAATGTATAGTCTTAAGCTGTTATAGCCCTAATATATCTCGGTAAGCATGGCGAGGTTCGAAATTCCGGCAGCTATGCTTCCGGTGAAGTTACCATAGGATAGAGATAACTGTTGGAGTTGGGAGCAACTGAATAAACAGGATGGGACTTGGCCTGAAAAATGGTCAAGTGACAAATAAATCGCTTACAAATTAGGAAGCTGACTAAAAATGTTCCCCGGAAGTTCATCAGACAGGCTGCAGTTAGTGAGATCAATGGCCTGCAGTGAGGACATGTTGAAAATGGTAGAGGGCATTGAACCCAAAAGCGCATTGTCAGGAAGAACAAGCTCTTGCAGTGACGGGGAGGATGCATTGAAGAGGCTTGCAGGTATAGAACCCGAAAGTTCATTGGCACCCAAATGCAAGTACTCGAGTTTTGGCAGTGACCCGAAAAATGATGGGATCTCCCTGCTTAATCGGTTGTATGCAAAAATTACGAACTTCAGTCTTTGCAAACGAACCATCTGATAGGCAGAGAGCCGCAAAAGCTGTTGTTTTGGAGACGGAGCTGTCCGGGGAACGAGAGGTTCCCTTAGGTGTGGAGGGATGGTGCCTACCAACGCCATGTAAGAACGGTTCAAGGCATGGACTTTGTTGCGAGGAGCATTGCATGTGACACCAATCCATTCGCAAATAGAAGCATTGTATACCAGTTTTTTGGCAAGACATAGTGAGGGTCATGAGTGATGTGGGATTTGAGAGCAAGAAAGGCAGAGATTGGTCTGCAGTGATGTGGGATTTGAGAGCGTGTGTGGAGAGGCTAGTAACAACCTTAATAGAAGTCAAAGTGCCCTTTGAGGAATTAAACAGACAGATGGGAACATGCTTAATAAGATAACCATAAACAGAAGTAGACACGATAACTGCTGTAGGAAAATTGAGTAGAACAAAGCCTGACTAACCCTCTATTCAAATCACAAGTGAGCATAATGGTTATAGATGCAGAAGACCGGAAATGTAATCCTTATTGTTCAACTAAATCAATACAATCTGATTTCGATCTCGATGAACCTTCAAAGTGAAGTCCATGGAAGCTCTAAATAGGTTTCAAGTACATGTGAGCGAAGAACAAGATGGCTGGCAAAACATTTCTCTTTTGGTTCTGCTGTAATATGTGCAATCGCGTACATTTAATACTCATACAAATCGAGGAAACGTAAGTATACTAAAACTAATTTATGTAGCGTGCAACCTGCCTATATGGCTCCAGACTTGTTACAGGCTCTATTGTTGGAAGTTTGTTCTCCACCAGACGTTCTGCATCTCCCATTTCAACCTCACCACCGCCTTGCCATTCTCCTTTGTCTTGGAAAAGCATTTCAATTTCTTCCAAAGTCTTTCCTTTTGTTTCTGGAACACATGTGTGGACAAAAGCAACAGAAAGAGCTGAAATCAATGAAAAAATAAAGAAGGTTCCTGCCACTGTTATTGCCCCAGACACGGAGAGGAATGACATGGTAATGACACCACTACTAACCCTACTACCAACGGCCCCAAGGGCAGATGCTTGAGCTCGAAGCTTTAGAGGGAAGACTTCCGATGACAATACCCAACAAATTGGGCCAATTCCTACTGAGAAGAAAGCTACATTCCCACAAACAGCTAATATTGCCACTCCAATCCCCACTTCCCCCTGTCCTGGCAATGCTAGAGCGACGCTCAGAACAAATAAACAAGCGGTCATTCCTATAGTGCCCACGTAAAGCAAAGGCTTTCTCCCCACTCGGTCAATCAGAAAGATAGCTACCAAGATGAACACAGTTTTGGTAAACCCGACAACAACAGTTGCAGCAAGAACTTCAGTGTTGCCCTTAATCCCAGCATCTTTGAAAATTGTAGGACTATAATACACAAGTGCATCAATACCAGTAATCTGTTGGAAACATTGGATTCCACAACCAGTAATCAGCATTCGTCGAACTGCGGGATTAGGACTAACAATTTCGCGCCATATAGCTTTTGCTTCATAGTTTTCAGCATTGGCCATCCCTGCGGCTTGCTGTATTTCTGCCAATCTGTCCGCAACATCTTTTTCACTCTCATTAGTCTTCATCAATACCATCCTTGCATCTTCCATCCTATTCTGCATCACCAACCACCTAGGGGACTCCGGGATCACAAAAAGAGAAAATCCAAGAAAGATGGAAGGTATGAGCCCCACACCAAGCATGACCCTCCAGCTTATATGTGCAGGAAGTCCTGAAAAAACATAATTTGATATATATCCAAGCAGGATCCCAAAATTTACAAAAATCTCAGGAAGAGATGTAAGAGATCCTCGTGCTGTTGCAGAAGAAATCTCAGCAATGTAAACAGGTGCAATCATGACCCCGAATCCTATCCCCACCCCTGCAAAGAGTCTACCAATCATCAGTACTGTGAAATTAGGAGCAAGGGCCATTATAAGAGCACCAGTCTGAAAGACAATTGATGCCAATGCAATTGTCCACTTTCTACCAATGACATCAGAAGTTTTTCCACCGGCTAAGCTTCCCAATAGCGAGACTATACTCAAAATTCCAACAAGAAGTTCTAGTTGTACGTTGGTGAGTTTCAGATCCTCTTGGATGAATATAATTGCTCCACTCATAACACCCACATCTGCATTGTGATAAAAACACACATTATAAACCAGGTAGTTGTACCGCATAAAAGTTACCGGTTAAGTAAAGGGTTATAAATGAAGAAGGATTTAAAGTTTCCTCTTACACAAGACCAAAATCACAACGAACCAAGCCAAGGGAAAAAATAAAAACACAAAATGTTACTGCATTTTTCGAAGGGAAGAGCTGCAGAGTAGTAGAAAACAGGAGTATGAAAATCTATACCCTTTCCGAAAAGCCATATAATGTAAGAGTCAAACAAGATTCTTTACTTCGTTACACCATTTTCAACTGCTCAAAGAATTGAAAAAGGATATTGCAATTGCAATATGACCAGTGTTTAAAATATCGATATATAGGTCAACTCATTTCTGTAGTGAATCAGTAAATGTCACCGCTATTCATTGATTTTCCTATATCTCGCCGATATAGTTTGAAGTTTGCATTTCACCCCCTTTTCATACCGAACCTTGATTTTTCGGATATTTCAACGGAAAGATCGACAATTTTGTGGATATTTTAAGCACTAAATATGACACATTAAACTTCCCACTAGTAAAATTCTGAAACTTAACTCAAAATTGGATACATTTATTCGCTTGGATTGTAACATTGTATCCCACAAGACAACCAGATGAATATTTTTTAACAATTAAGTCGGAAAAAACATCCTTAACAATTCCATACCACTTGCAAAAAAATGCACTAAAAAACACCAAGTTGCACTGTCTCTGCCCTCCATCAAAATATAGTTGTCTTGTTTATTTCAATTATTAAATAAATAAATAAATTATATGTATATTTACAACCATTAAATCCCGATAAGCAGATCAAACAGAATTACAAAAACATATTAAATATAAAATAAAAAAACAAAATAAAATTAGAAAAATGCACAAAAAGCAAAATGGTCGGGCAGATCAAGCGAGAAAAACATAGATCAAGGAAAGAGAAAGAAATACAAACCGTATCCAAGAAGCACGGAATTGAGGGAGGCAAAGATTGCGCAGGCCAAGACATATCTCCTGGTATTTTTGTCGGTCAATGGAGCATCTTCCGCTGTCTCTCCGACCTCGGACTCCATTCTCTGGTACTTGGTCTTGCTCCCCCCGAGTTGAAATTCGGACCCAGCAATCCCATTCTCAGCTGCATTTCCGTTTTGCTGCCCACCCAGCAACCCCATCATCCTCTCTCTCTAACTCTCTCTCTCTCTCTCTCCTCCGTTCTGGCGAGGAGGAAGAGAAAGGAAGGGACTTTTTTACGTGGGCAGCTGTTTTTTCGAGTTCTTAATCCGATCGAACTCAGTTATTGGACAAAAACAAAAGAATTTTTGTGGGTTTTGTCTCAGATCTGGAACAGAGGAAGAGGGACTTTTGGTTTTGTTCTTTTTTATTTTTGACTTGGACAAAAAACTGAGAAGCAGAGGAGAGGAGGGGGGTTACGAAAGACAACAGAGAAAGTGGTGAGAAATAAGGTTGAGACCCGACGCGTTTTTTTTTTTCTTTTACGAAATAGGAAATTATATTTTGTGTAATATATGGTATGACGATTGATGATAGAAGTTTTTTTTAATGATTACGTTATATAATTTAAGTAGATAATTTTTTTTAAATAATTTTTTTAGCAAAATAAAGGATTCTTTAATTTTTTTACCTTTTGAGGGTAAACTTGGACTGAGAAGGCTCATTATAGCCCACCGGCAAAAAAAATCCTAACTTCGTCCCGCATCAATGTTAAAAACTTCTTTTGTTGGAAGATAATCTTCTTCGGATTCTATCCTTTCAGAAATCTACCGAAGTGCAAATTCATTGTCGTTCACTATTTCTGCATTGGAAAAGTATGAGCATTCTGAAGGGATACTATTCCATAAAAAATTACATTGACTATAAATATTAAAAGATTGAATTAGGTCCATTTTCCACATCATATTTTGGTGAGGATGTTGTGCTGGCCAGCAAAGTGGGGACACGCGTTGGATGTCGCTTTGTAACTGAGCCTAGTTCTCTTATACTTTGGGCTTAAGCTTACACAAACTATCGTATGGGCCTGAAATTTAACACTCAATTGTTATAGTAGCCTGCCCATCCTGTCATGCAAGGACTCAACACTTTTTTACCATTGTGGTAAAGAGCCACTTGTGTTATAGTAGCCTCTCAAGTCGACATAAATGCTCATATGCACTTGAGTTGTGCTCTTGGTTTGCGCATGACTCGTATTGACGATATATTTCCTACAAAATTGAAGCAACCTTCATCAATTCAGTTGCACCACTATTGCAAGGCCACCAGCATTGAATGGAAAAAGAAAATTTTAGAGTTCGGCAACCAGACCACACGTATCAGTGCAGATTCAAACACAAAAACCACAACCTACCCCACACCCTAATTTATCATGTTAACTCTGGCCCACTTTAGTAAACAAGTGTAATAAGACAATTGGTTGAAAACTTGAAAAATAAATTTTCAACCAATTGTATTATAACACTTGATGTACCAGGTCGTGTTACACTGAAGAATTTCTCCCTACTGACAGATTCTCTCGCCTAATTGGACTTGATTAGGGGTCCAGCCCATTTTAAAACCTATGCATCCACAAACTTTGATATGGGCCTAATTAATAAAATAAAAGGCCCAATTATAGTAGCCTCTCAAGTGCCAATTTCTTGGAATATATAAATATCATTCCCATTATCCGGTCACTAATTATCTTCCCAAACCACACCCTCTTTCCTCTCGATTTGGTTTTCGCTCTGCACTTCCGATCCGGAACCATGACTGCGGAGGTTCTCTCGCAGCCAAACGGCGTCGTTGCGAACAGCGACTTGAACGCAATCCCTACCAACAACGCCACCGCCGCCAAGAAGTCGAGGGAGAGCGAGCGACGCCGTCGCAGGAGAAAGCAAAGGAAGAACAACAAGGCCTCTCAGGCGCCGGAGTCGAGCGCCGGCGAGACCGACGATGACGTCAAGGAGAACAATGATCCTCAACAGGTTCTTCACCTCCCTCTCCATCTGATTCGTTTGTGATATGTTTGTTTAGTTTGCCGATTCATTTCTAGTGTCTTAACGAAGTCTTGTGTTCTGATTTGGATGCCATTCGTTTGGTAGATTTTAGGGTTTTAACGAAGTGTTGTAGTCTGATTTGAATGCCATTCTGTTTAGTAGTTTATTTTTGTTGTAGAGCGGTGGTTTTAGGGTTTTGCGTTCGATTCATTGTGCCTAATTGTTCGTTGCAGATTGATTTATAGGGCTTTAGAGAAGTATAGTGCTCTGATTTCGATGCCATTCTGTATGGTAGACATAAGGGTTTCGATCAAGTGTTGTACTCTGATTTGGTTGCTATTCTGTTTGGTAGATTATTTTGTTGTAGAGCGGTGGTTTTGGGGTTTTTTGTTCAATTCCTTTACCTAATTAGCTTTGGGTTTGAAACCCTGGTTGTGTAGAAGCGGCTAGATATGTAACGAAAACAAAGAACAATGTGAAGGGTTTTAATCATACCAAGCCAGTAATTGAAGTACACCCTCGATTAAATCTCAGAGAAGTAATTGTTACCCCGTAACTTCTTATTTTGCACTGAAGGTGTAGTGTGCTTAGCAGTAGCCACTTTTTTAGTATTTTTACCCTGTTTCTCACTGGTGAGGAAAGAGTAATTCGAAGCTATGTTTTTGTTCTTTCTTAATCATATTTTAGCATTCCTAATCAGATTTGTACATGCTAGTGTTGAAAACCCATTTTGAAAGTTGTTCAACTGTTTTTTTCTTATAGATGTGTATTTTTTTCCTGCTTCACGTGACAAATGAATAAGAGTTTGTCATAGTGTTGAAAATTTTCTAATCTGCTATTTTTGGTCTATTATCTTACCATGTGTATTAATGTAACTTTTGAACTGTGTAGATTATTGAGCAAGTTCAAATTGAATATGTTCCAGAGAAACCTGAGCTAAGTGATGGCATGGATGAGGAATTCAGAAAAATTTTCGAGAAATTCTGCTTCCAGGACTCCGTGGGTGTTGAGGTAAAAAGGCATTTTGTCTAACATCTGAATTATATTGAACTTGTTTTTCTTTGTGAGACTATGTAATGATGCATTGATTGTTTTATCCATCCAGGAGGATAAGAAGGATGAGTCTGAAGGAGCCCCAAAAAAGAAGGCTGACTCAGATTCTGAAGAGGAAGAGCAGGATAATGAACAAAAAGAGAAAGGCATATCAAACAAGAAGAAAAAGGTTTGTTAGTATTTTCTTATTGTTAAGTTGTTAACATTATTACTGGAAGCATTTTGTTCGTTGAGGTTGAAATAAATGTTTTGTTATCTTGCAGCTTCAACGGAGAATGAAGATTGCCAAATTGAAACAGATCTGCCAAAGGCCTGATGTTGTTGAGGTGTGGATACTTTGTTTTATTTATATGTTGTTCTTGTTATTGTCTGTTTATGTATGTTTGAAATTAAGATTGTCTTGCTACATGTTCTCAGGTGTGGGATGCAACTGCAGCTGATCCTAAGCTGCTGGTGTTTCTAAAATCATATCGCAATACTGTACCCGTGCCAAGACATTGGTGTCAGAAAAGGAAATTTCTACAGGTTAGCGATCCCCCTTATTTTCAAACTATTGAATAAAAGGTGGATGCATGATTAATGGGTATTATTAACATGATGGGATTAGGGAATAGAGTGAGGGAAGATCACGTCGATGAGGTTTCTCTTATATGTATACATGTGGTTCTTGCAGGGGAGCGGCTGTGACAACCATGGAGCCTGGACTTGTAGGTGTTTGGAAAATTACACCTTGAATGTTTTATCTTTATTTATCTCCTAGTGGGGTGGGGATCTAGGCCTAATTTAGTGCTATTATTGGGGATATTTTGAGTATGCATGATGGATTTTAGGATCTTATTCACTTTAAAAGCGCTGATATATCTGTTTTGAATTTTCAGATGCCTTCCAATAATGCTTAGCCATTGGGCCCAACTCTGCTAAAATACATATATTTAATACTGCTGATTTGATGTAGAAAATATGACGATGATTGTAAATTATTACTTATATCTCATCGAGACTGGATTGATTTTACAGGGTAAACGTGGTATTGAGAAACAACCGTTTCAGCTTCCTGACTTCATTGCTGCTACGGGAATTGAGAAAATTAGACAGGTAAATCGTTCATAAGATTATTATGTTGAAAAATCTCAAAAGTTTTGTTCAAGCACGGCTTGTTCGTTAAAGTTTTGGCTCATAATATAAGTAAAATATTTCTTTTGTTCATGAAGCTAATTAAGTTGTAACTAAGAAACATGCATCATTTTTTTGTAGCTTATGCATAATTATATTTATGCTTCTATCTGCCTTGTCTTTTCGCTTTTCTCACGGTGTTGCCTGTTGGTTGTTATTTGGTTGTCTTATGTAGGCGTACATTGAAAAAGAAGATAGTAAGAAGTTGAAGCAAAAACAACGAGAGCGTATGCAACCAAAGATGGGGAAAATGGATATCGATTATCAGGTACTCATTAATTATAATTCTGACTTTTTAATCTTGTGTTTTAATGTAATTCCAGAGGACACGCATCTGTAATGGTTATATCTTGTTTTACTGATAAGACTGGTTTCTGTTTGTTAGGTTCTCCATGATGCATTTTTCAAGTACCAGACTAAGCCAAAGTTGACGACTCTTGGTGATCTGTACCATGAAGGGAAGGAGTTTGAGGTATATTATTCCAGCATTTATTTATAAGCATCTTTATGCTCTTGGCTGCGTGAATATTTTATCTTGTGTGAAGGTGCAACTTAATTTTTGTTTGTGTTGTTTTCCGGTTTTGTGTTCAGGTGAAATTGAGGGAGATGAAACCAGGCATGCTTTCGCATGAACTAAAAGAAGCTCTGGGTATGCCAGATGGTGCTCCTCCCCCATGGCTCATCAATATGCAGGTGAGTATGCAAAAATATTGTGTTTGGTTTTCAACTCTGTGGTGTATTTGTATTAATGTTGGGTATTGCCTTGTATTTTCAAATTTTTTTTTTCTTGTAGAGATATGGTCCTCCACCATCATATCCACATCTGAAAATTCCCGGGCTGAATGCTCCAATCCCTCCTGGTGCTAGCTTTGGTTACCATCCTGGTGGCTGGGGAAAGCCTCCCGTTGATGAAGTAAGTTTTAAATTCTTGGTATTGTTTCCTTTGTTTAGTTCTAATTTCAAATACTT